TAGTTGTGCATAGTATGTTCTTGTCCAGAATGAACGACACCAGCAAAATTCTAGCTAAAACATATTCATTCAGAAACAAATGAATCCCATAAACTCATAATATGCGAGTAGCCACACCACTGCACAAGCAAGATTTACATAGCCTGATCAGAATTCCTTCCAAAAAGAAGCCTCCCGAGTACCATTGCAACTATACCACATCCTCCATATTGCTATGATAATCCTGCAAGGCCAGGGATGTATTATGGTATCATAGCAAACCTCGGAAAAACAGCAAGCATTGAAAAAAGCACTATAAGCAAAAAAAGTTCTTGCACCACAGCTGAATTGCAAGGATATAGAGATTAAATAATGCTAACAGTAAGAAATGAGAAAAAAAATTGCAACACACTTCCCATTAAATTTCATTCCTTATTAGCTTATGCAGCACATTTTGCTACATTATAAATACATTTTCAGAAAAATCCTACAATTCAAATTCATTTATTCCTAATCATATCCTAGCAATTTAAAACACATTAGTACAAATAAGCAAAAGTCAAAATTTGAACTTAAAATTCAATTGAATTGATGACGCTTGTGAAGTCTCATAATTATAAGACTTCCATCTTTTTCAAAATATGAAATGTGCCAAGAATTAAATAGCGTACCAAAAATATAATGGTGAGTTTTAATTTGCCTAAGCATAAAAAACAAAAGCAATAAGAAATTTACATCAGCCAAACAAACACAGGTCTTTAATAAATGAAGTCAAACCCACTTAGCAATATTATACAGAATAATTTATACACTCAGCATGTTCAGACAATTACGCTATCAGAATAAACATATAGCGACTGAAGCACTGTCCACACCAAATATGTCAGTAAAAGGTAAATCTACTCCAACACAGTTAGGTTCAATACTACATGCAAAGCTGCATATATGGTAACGTACTGCAGCTGCTTATACAACCCATTTCTGAATTGGTGACAGAAAAGGATTGTAAAAGCAGAGTAGAATCTTACGCCATACAAATTTTGGAATCAAAACATTTTAGTGCAACCTCTCTTGCTGGCCCTCGGTTGATTTCCTATCAATGGTATCTTACTTCACAGCTGTTCAATAGGCAATGTATAGCAGCGCTCGCGTAATTCATTGTAGATGATACAAACTGCAATAGCATACAGTACATAACTATATGAAATTATGACACATCGAATGAGCAATTAAAATAATGGACACGCATCTTGTTGAATATCATAGAGGGAAATAACATCTATGTAGAGAATTAAAGAATGGCCACAAACAAAATATATTACAACAACCCTTCTTCGCTTGTAAATCAAATGTTATAGCCATAACCAAGTCTAATTATATAAAACATTGCCCTCCTAACCAGCAAGACTAGCTGCTAACACACATATCCAAGCAAACTAGATATTTTGAGCTTTATTTAACTGGTAGTGATATTTTTTGTTTAGCTTTTGATGCCTAAAAACATCAACTAATGGACACTCCCAGAGGAGTAACAAACTAATCAATAGGGTAAAGAGTTCATTTACACAAAAGAAAAAGCTTTAAACATGAAAAAGAAACAGCACAATATTATTCAAAAAGTTCAAAATGTTTTGGTTAACATAGAAAGCAATGAGAACATTTTGTTGGGCAAAATTACTTTAGTTTGTCCTATGCCTTCGGATATAATTGTGATATCAACCAAAAATAATTATAACTGAGTGGGAAGGGCTTGCATCCTTGGTTACTGAAGAGATGGGAGGGAACCTGAATAACTTCTTGAAAGTAAATGCACATACACAATGGAATATTTGCATAAGAAAAATTGGGAAGTTTTTGTTTAACTATAAATATGATAGCGAGGAAATGCATGCAGCTTTAAATTTGTTGTGGTATTATCTGGGGAATCAGCAGATGAGAACTGGAGAATAGCTGACCTGACGTAAATAATACCATGCATAGCTATGTATAATGGGATAAGTCCTCTGTTGAATCTTACCTAGAATCAGCGCGCAGGTTGGACTTCAAGAGACTCAAGTATTTCCTCCACTCAGCTGTAAGCATAAAGACAGGACTTATAACCATATTTTTTTTAATAATTAGAGAACTAATTCGGGCAATTGAATCTACCAGTTTCCCTCACATTAAATTATAATATACCCAGTGAGAAGAAAAATGGACATTCTTGACAAGTCAAAGAATATCGTTGATTTCTTTACAAGCACACCAGATATTGTATCACATACCCAGCAGACCACAGAATAACTTCAGTCAATTAATACTGAAGTCATAAAACATATTCCACAAATGTTGAACGACTGATAGTCTCACAACATAATGACCTAATACCAATGAAATATCATAACCTCTGTCAGCTTCATCTTTCATTACTGAAAATGTCAAAGGACACTGAGGAGGAGTTTTCAATATAATACTAACATTAAAGAGGTGATAATCCGATAACTGCCCATGTGGCAAACCTTCAACCAGTTTAAGTCACACCCAGAGCTGGTACCTCCATTCAGCAAGTGGAACCAGCAATCTCTCTGGAGAAGCACGAAAGCATATCTGATTCGTTGAACTTACACCCCGCCAGAAGATGGAGCGGACTATACCGAGGAGAGAAGAGCAGACGATAAAATAATGTATGAGGTTGGCACTGGGAATATGATACAACTGAGATGCTGGACACATTTCAGATGAATGACGAGTAAAGGGTGCAAATTGGAACTATAAAGATATGAGAAGAATGTCATCACCGGCCAAGAAAGAAGATTCTAAGGTAAGCTACAGTTTGATGTAATATGATGTTTGACAGTGATACCAAAAAACCATAGCAAATCTTCTTTAGTTATACGATGATAGAAACATACCATCAGATTTATTCCATCGAATCTATGCCAAAAATTCCTCCTAAGTCATTGCCATTATAGCCCAGATTCACCAATATCCAACAGACTGGGTGATTGATAAGAGCCCTCCTCCCAGGTATGAATAACTGGTTAAAAAAAACGAAGAAAGTTGAAAGCATGTAATGTTAGAATCAATTAAAAATTTTTTTCCCATGCCCTCTGATTTCACTAACTTCAAGAAAATTATTAACAGGCCCACTAGGAAAAAAAATTGAAAACTCTAAGGTATGGGGGGGGGACAGAATTTACCTAGCCTTTTTTGCCACAGATGTATGCTTTCTTGTCAGAAAAAATTCTGTCCCTGGTGAAATAACAAGATAATAATTCCAAAGGAATCAGTAGAGCCCATACCCATACTCTTTTCCCCACTTTAACCAGCAAGAGCACTTAGCAGGCCCTTTTCTGGTTCTGAATGTCCATGTGCCTCAGAATATCTAAACACTCAATGAAAAGAACAGTAATGAAAACGCATTTTAATCATCCATTTAAGGTAACATAATATTAAATTTAGAAAGTACAGAATGAAGTCATTTCGAACAATAAAAGACAGAAAAAAAGAAATTTTCTTCGACTAGTTATTGCTCATAATTAGAATAACCTAAAGGATAAAGTGAATAATACATTATTTTTAGTGCCAAAGTGGTAGAAATGTGCATTCTCCATGGTTTTAGGGAAGACACAGACAAAACAGGAAAACCCAGCAAAACACATGGCCCTTAAATATCATCCAGATGATTGCAATATTCTTTTCCTACTGATATTCTGAAAGCTTCACAACCATATTAGAAATTTCTTTTGATAGACCGGAGAAAGGAATACGTTATTTAAATTAAAAAAGTATAGAACAAAATAGGAAATCATGAAAGAAAGGCAAGTAAGTTGTCCTCCTGCAACTTCATTGATCAATCATCAAACATTCAAACTTGGCGTTTAACGACTCTTGTTTTTTTTGCATATTTTTTTTAAACTCAGGAATTGGAGTTTTAAAAGCCATCTACACTAAGAGGGCAGTTCAAAATTCATGACAATGTACAACTATTACTTTTTTGGTCAAATATTACATTCACAAGAGGGAAAATTGGTAAAAGGGGAAGTGCTAAAGAAACCCTGTTTGAACTTGTGCGAATGTATATATTTTCTTTCAGCTGAATTCTTGGGATGTTATTTAGTGTAATATACTCTCTATATGACTCTATTCTTTTCTTTTCAAAAACACAAAACTCAACATATATACCATACAAGAATTCTTACAAAAACAAAGATGACCAAATAATAATATATTTCGGAGCAGTAGCACTTAATCAATGCAACTACCAACCTACCTATGATGAAGATAAATATTTTCTACTTTAATTATGCTTGCGCATTATACAACTAATTCATAAAAATAAAAAATACACACATCAATATGTCTGACTGGTAACAACTAATTATCATTATCCTGAATAAAACACTTAAAATTAGAAAAAATTAAGATACAAAACAAAGAAACCCATGCTCCAATTCACTACATATGTAGTTATCTTTCTGAATTACGCATCCATGACTGGAGACGACTAACGAGATGCAAGGTCCTCCCTAATAAACTAATTCCAATCCAGGGCACGTTCAGACTGCACAAACATTCCACCATTTACAATCACCGTCCAAGCTTCACCTCTATCAACCTGGACATTTTTTTCCTTTCTATATTTTATCACTTTGACATGGATTAATCTATATAGGCCTCTTGTTTCATAATAACAATGATAACAAGCGAAATACAAGGACAAATAAAAAAGAAGCATTGCATAAAAAACAAAAAAAAAAAAGAAAGAATAAAAGAGAAGAAACAAGAAAAGGTTCACAATTTTTATGCTATGAATGTAAAGTGCCTTAAAAGTCTTAGATTTAACCACTGCAAGGGGAACAAAAAATCTTCAAAGCCAAAATGAGAAATTAAATGGAAACTTACAAAAAAAAAAAAAAAAAAAAAAAAAAGAAAGATAAAAAGAGAAAGAAACAAAGAAAAGGTCACAATTTATGCTATGAATGTAAAGTGCCTAAAAGTCTTAGATTTAACACTGCAAGGGAAAAAAAATCTTCAAGCCAAATGAGATTATGGAAACTTACCCTGCTGCCCCAGCACAAGCTAAAAGGACTTCATATGCAGTTTCACGGAGGTCGTCATCTGTGATACCTGAAAACAGTAGAAGCCCAAAAAAATCATGACAAGCACTTAGATAAATTAAGCCTTCACCTTCCAATGCAAGAATCTTTAATGTATATGTATTCAAACATTCTCTACCCTTTATGTCCTCTCCCAAGGAGCCATGATGGCAGGAGTGGAAAAAACTAGCTTTTAAGTTTCATACACTGAACTTTAAGCCATACCAGTTACAAAAGCAGGCAATCTGGGAATAAGATCAGCAGCTGCATCATTTGTGTTGCGTCTTGAAATCCTGACACTATTGACTTCCTCAAGTTCATCATCATCAAAATCTTCAATGTCATCAACAGTCAGTTCTCGATCTTCAGTGGAGTTAAAGGACACTGACTTTCCTACACTTGACAATGACACATCAGGGGATGATGCAAAAATAGGAGCTGTTGTTGAAACTGGAATGGATAGTGGTGCTGAAACTGGAATGGGTGGTGGGGCCCTTCTTGGAGGTGATCCTGAAGATTCAGGATTTGTAACTAAGAAAAATTCATCTGCAGAACCCCCATTATTCTGAAATTGACCAAAAAAGAATCTTCTAAAATCACCAGCGTAAGATCAATATAATCATTCATATGCTAAATTTGAATGAACTATCAGAAATTAAGTGCAGGCACAAACCGATTTGGGAATTGCATCAAAATTCAAAGTTAGATAGACCAAGGAAGTTACAACCAGATCCCAAACTTCACAAAAGCCAATTATGACTTATGCCTGTCTCATTTCATTTTTTTATGCATAATTCTCAAGAGAAAAGATTCCAAAAGAATCTACCATGGATTTTAAATTTGAATAAGCAGTAATAAGTTAACCATGTCATAATAGCAAATATCTATGAACGATTACATTTGCAAGCCAATGAACTAAATCATCATGCATCCACCATCTTGCTAGTTAAAGCATACCATATGGGGTAAGTCGGTGTTATCATGGTAATCTCTTATTGCTTCTGAGAGCTCAAGCATTCCACCTACACTAACAAAGTGCCATTAGGAGGAGAAAAATCTAATGAAGAAAAAGCCTTGAAAAGAAAGCAATAAATATAAAGATGATGGGCCACCTTTTTTAGCACAGTTAAGAACGTAATCTACACTGACTTGGTCTAGATCCACATCATCTAATGTAACTGCACCGGGAGGCATTACGACTTTCTTAATTAAGGTGCCGGAAAGTATAAAGTCTAAAAGTATTCTCCGGTCCCTCCGGTATCTCTGCAGGAGCATAGCAGCATTCTCCCTAATTTCACCAAGCACATAAAATTAGAACAAGTTGGACACGAGACGAAGCAAGAGAAATTCCAACAAGAATATATAAACTGCAGGAAAATACATACTCTTCCATGGAAGAACGAACAGCCAATAGATTGTCAACTCTACAAACTTTTACAGCTCTGCAACTACGCTATCTTCCAACCTGGTCATAAAGTTAAAAAAGGGAAAAGAAAAAACCCAATTCAGTAAAGGCGCCAGATTTTCAATAAATGCTAACATTACATTACATAAGAATTTAGATCCTAATGTAACACTTGAAATCTAGCAAATCGAGAAAGCAAAATCCACTGAGTCCAATAAAAGACTCTGTTTGGCTGCTAGAAAGCGAGGGAAATAAAGAGAAAGTAAACAAATTGAGTTAAAATCACAATGTTAGATCCAATTAATCATTAATTAAGTCGAAATCAACTTCTCAACCTACTTCATCATGCCATTAAATGTCAATGTCTGAGATTAGTGAAGGCTACTAAAAAATGTATATAAAAAAATCTGACTTTCTTCTACTTTTCTCGACTTTATCAACTTAATTAAATGAAATGATTCGATAATCAAAGAAAGTAAAACACTAACGTTAGATCAAAGGGTAATTGTAATTAAGAGTGGGATACAAGAGAATTAGATTGAAGCGCACTGGTAATAGGATAATCCTTGAGAAATGCAGAGAAGGGATTGTAGTGAGAAAGAGAAGAAGAGTCAATGTGACAAGTTAAATTGAGAATTGAATTTTAGCAAGGAAGATTCAGAGAGAAGAAAGGAAAGGAATGGAGGGAGAGAGCGGGGAAGGTGATGACGGTGATTTAGCATATCCGAGTTGGATTAATTTGTATTAAATAATAATAATAATAATAATAATAAGAAGAATAATAACTTTTTTGTTTTCCTTATATTTTTCAGTTTTCTTTTAACTGCATTTTTTTTACTATCTTCAATTTTTTCACAAAAACTATCACAATGTTTATTAAAAAAAATTTAAATATAACGAAAAAAAAATATTATTCTCTCTTTATTAGTTGATTTTTATTTTTATATTTTTTTTTCAATTTAAAAGTGAATATTTTAGAAGAAATATGAGTATTAATTCTCCCCATCTTTATTTAATTTTTTTTCTTTATTAAATAAAGAAAAAATTATCATTTTTTTATTATTTTATTTCCTTTCATGTTTTACCCATTCAGACATCGTTATAATATCAATCTAAACATAGTTATATTAAAGTACTATGAAATAATTGAACGAAAGTATTTTAAAACTGAATAATTAAAATTATAAAATTTAAAACTAAGACAGAATAAAATTAATTAAATCGATTCGATTCGAGATCATTAGTTTCATTTTTTTTTTTAGTATAACTAAGAGATATCCGTGACCATAAAGATTTTATTTTATTTTTAATTAAGGAAATCAAAATTTTCCTCGTTTTGGTTCGATTCATAAATTATTTTGAAGTGTCTTCTCTTTAACTATTTGTGAACTGTGTTTCCCATTTACCCAAAAAAAAAAAAAAAAAAAAATTTGAAGTGTCTTCTCTTTAACTATTTGTGAAACTGTGTTTTCCCATTTACCAAAAAAAAAAAAAAAAAAAAACAAGAGTTGATATCTACAGGAGAATCGGTCTTCTTCCGTGGCTAGAGTTCTTTCAAAAGAAGTGGAACCATAGTTTCTAACAATGTTTGAAAGGGATGATAATGAGGTAAAAACAAGATGAACCAAGAATGACAGTTACCAGAACAGGAACCAACAGAAGATGTCAATCCATACATTCATAACTGAGATTGAACCAAAACACTTGCTTCTCTTTGTTTAATACTGATATATGCCTCAAAAAAAAAAAAAAAAAAAAAAAACAAGAGTGATCATCTACCAGGAGAATCGTCTTCTTCCGTGGCCTAGGAGTTCTTTTCAAAAGAAGTGGAACCATAGTTTCTAACAAGTTTGAAAGGATGATAATGAGGTAAAACAAGATGAACCAAGAATGACAGTTACCAAGACAAGAACCAACAGAAGATGTCAATCATACATTCATACTGAGATTGAACAAAACACTTGCTTCTCTTTGTTTAACTGATATATGCCTCAAAATTTTTGAGCTTGAACATTATGCAGGGAGACATATAAAATCGGTCTATTTCCGGCATCATATCCCAGATATCTAACAAAATAGAACACAGTCGCAGTTGCATTCGATATCATCAATTAACTGCACTCAGCCAAAGCAAGTCTTTGACAGCAAATTTCATAGCATCAAAAACACAACTGAATCTGTGTCTTCCCTGTTGCTGAGCTCCCTGTCATTTTCCAATATCTAATAGTTTATCATTGTATAGCTTCAATAACTTAGGTGCTTCCCCAAAACAATTCAAATACTTTTCTAGGAAAGACTTTTATGTCATCTCGAACAATCGAGCTATACGAGAATCTATTTTAACCAAACCTTTTGATGACAGATACTGAATAACTGAAGCTCTTGGAAGAAGTCTCTTCTTCAAGCTCAGTGAAAGTAGCACAGGGCGATTGGCAATAACAGAAGAGTCTAATCCCAACTTGTCAACATAGAAGTCCATTACTGCCATAATTTTATCTGTAGAGATTGTCATACACCATGGATACTTCCCAAAGGCTGTACCAATATCTTCATCAGACCAACCCCACCTCTTATAAGCTTCCACCTTCTCATCCCACGTCGATTTGCTAATTCCCCTCAATGCTATGATTGCTAAAACAAATTGTGATTTCGAAGGATCAAATCCCATTTCGTTCACTTCATCCACAATCTTTTTAAACATTTTCGCATCCCTCCCAAGCTTTTGAGCATGATAACGAAGCACCAACAAGATATTAGCTTCAGAAACTCCATTTTCTCGCAAAATGTTGATGTTAGGTATCATCTCAGATTCAAGTCGACGAGCCATAATACCAGGAGACAATTTAATAGTTGAAATGGTTTTCTGATCAGTTTGTAACAAGTCTCTAAAGAAATTGAAAGTAGGAATCAAATGGTTTTCTAAACTTCTTTTCAAGATCCAGGGATTGGAAACGAATATTCTTACAAGATCAGGCGTTGAAGCACCTTTAGACCGAAAAAACTCTACTTTAGGGAAAATAAACTTCTCAGGATTGGATGACAGCGTTCTTGGATACCTTCTTATTATACTAGAGATGTGCGCTTTTGAGAATCCAAGATTCTGGAAATAGGATATGACCAAGTCAGGCTTATCTGGGGTTTCAAATTGGACATGTTTAGAAGCTGATAATGCAGATTCTGGAGACAACCCACACGTGTTTATAAGGTAAGACACGGTAAAAGAGTTCTGATTTGCTGCTATCGACAAGCATCTAAGAGAGAATGATAACACCATTGATGGGTTTTGAGCTGTGACAGTGTATCCATTTCTCTTCAGGATAATAGATTTACAGAAAAAATAGAACATGGGAATTGAAAATCAGGTGATGAAACAAAAAAACTCACCTCTTTTTGAAACAAGTCTTGTATGAGAAAAAAGCGAATCTTAATTCCAGCAGGAGAAATGCACAAACAAACGTAGTAGCAACAAGCATGTAAAACCCTAAGTGAGAGAGAAGTCGCAGAGAGGTTTAAAAGAGATAAAACGATGCCGTATTAAATCTGGTAAGTAAAAGCTATTAAATATTAAATAAAATAGAAGGCAAAATACTCCCACGTCTTTTATTTTAGGGTTTCTGTTAGGGTTTAATGAAGTTAAACTGATATTGGCATATTTCATCTCTCTGCTGGACGAAGTATGGCCAATAACCATCAAAAGGAAATCAATATGATCGAACGAGAAGCTGAAGAAGAAGAAGAAGAAGAAGAAATAGAAGAGGAAGAAGAAGAAGAAGAAGAAGACAACGGGGATTGGGAAGATTGGAAAGAGGATGACGGAGAGGAGGATTCAAACTCGAAGTTTATGTGCTTGTTCTGTGATTCCAACTACAGTTCATGCATTGAGTTACTTGAACACTGCGCTGCAACTCATAAGTTCGATTTTCAGGGGATAAGGAAAGATTTGAACTTGGATTTTTACAGTTCATTCAAGCTGATTAACTATGTACGCTCTGAGGTAAGTTGCTACTGCTTATCAATGTGTTTGTTTGGTTTCCGAGGAAGTGAAGAATAAAAAAATTTTGAATCTTCACCACTGGAACTGCATTGGATAAACTGTTATGTTTGGCTCTTTAATTGTGTTGTGATTGAGGTTATTTGTGGTTGCTAAGAATTGGAAACAAAAGAAAGGGGAAGGTTTTTTGACTCTTTAAATTGGAACTAAGCTAAATTAATCGGTTATGTTATTATTTTAAATTCTTGGGATCCAAAGTTGAGAATTAGAAATTTTATCTATGTTGCTGTAATTTTTGTAAGTTTGCAACTCATTTTTAACCCTAAAGTTCAAATCTTGATGTCAGGTGGCAGAAAACAGATGTTGGAGTTGTGGGCTCAGCTGCAAGTCCAACCATGACCTACAGTGTCATTTACATGAAACGGGCAGTCTTGAGAACGTTAAGCTTTTATGGGATGATGATAAATATCTGAAACCTTTTCTGCATGATGATTCACTCTTGTACAGTTTTGCTGAAGATGAAGAAGGTGAAGACGATTATAATGCATCAGTAGATAAAGAGGAATTGATGAGAGATTTGGGGAATATGGAAGAGATCTGTCTTGCAGATGACAATTCTGCTGCTTGCTCCGACAATTTTAAAGAAAATGGAATAAAAGAGGTTGCCTCTGTTTCCAAAGGCCTTTTAAATCTTGTTTCGAAGGATATTAAGAAAGTCAATGAGAGTTATTTCGGTTCTTATAGTTCATTTGGTATCCACAGAGAGATGATAAGTGATAAGGTACTAAGCTTTAATTGTAATGTTTCACACCAGTATATGGTTTTAAACTGCAAAATATGTGAGTTGATTGTAGATTATACAACATTACTGTTGAGACTGTTACATACTTTATGCAGGTAAGAATGGATGCTTATAGGCAAGCAATATTAAAAAATCCTTCTCTCTTTACTGGTTCTGTTGTGATGGATGTAGGTTGTGGAACTGGCATACTAAGGTGAGTTGGCAGTATGTCTTTAGTAGAATAAGCACAGTTCAACTTCCCCGACTTCCCCCTCCTTTTCTGCATTTTTTTATGCTTCATCTTAGATTTATTGTTTCACATCCTAATTTGTCTTTGGTGGATTCTCAATGGCTCTACTCTTCACCATTCACAAAATCTTTGAGCTCATGTCCTCACATTTTCTAATTGCCAATATAAACTGTATCATAGTGCTGTTGACTTCCTAGGACTCACTTTTGGAAGTTTAACAAAAGGTAAAAGCTTGATAAGGTCATATTTCACTTTCGCACTGCAAATTATGCCTGCAATGTTTGAAGGATGCTGGCGATCCTTGTTGTTAAAGGTGTCATTGGCTTTTGAGGTGATAGCCAGCTTAGGCGGTTGTGTTGAGAGTGAGCAGTTATCAATCATCTGAGATGGTTGGAATTTGGTGCAGAAAGTGCTGCAGTATTTTCTGAAATCTGTCATTTGATTGCCTGCAAAACTCTAGCCAGTTGGTTCCTCCATGTGACTGAAATTTTATAAAGCATTCTTCCATCTATCTTTCAAATTTATTCAGAGTTGCTAAAAGGTTTAATAGATGGTACCCTTTGTTTCTCCTCCGTGACTCTGGATGGTGTCTCAAAAAAAAAAAAAAAAAGGACTTACTTTGCGTGCAAGTAGAATGTATAGATGGCTACCGGCTAACTTTGGATCCATGCCATTGATTGAAGTGGCTATCTGGTTGGTTGCATAACTGATAGAATTTGTTAACTGAATCAGGAGTTGTCCATGTCAAGAATTTAGAACCACCTATTTGTTCATGTAAATCAATGATATGTTCTAGACATTCACGATACAAGATGATCTTATGAGCTACTTTTGTGTTTTGCTTGTTTTGTTTCACACAGTCTCTTTGCAGCCCAAGGAGGGGCTTCGAGAGTGATTGCAGTTGAAGCCAGTGAGAAGATGGCTGCAGTGGCAACTCAGGTATGTTTCCTTGCTTGTAGTTCCATTAATTCCTTTATTTCCTCTGGCTCTGATCCCCCTTTGCTTACCATAACTATAGGTTGCTAAAGACAATGGCCTATGGCGTAGCAATGAAGGCAATGACCGGTGTACTGGGTTAATAGAGGTGGTTCAAGGTATGGTTGAGGATCTTGATAAATTTGCACAAATTGAACCACACAGTGTTGATGTGTTATTGAGTGAATGGATGGGTTATTGCCTACTCTATGAGTCAATGCTCAGCTCAGTGCTCTTTGCAAGAGATAAATGGTTGAAGCCTGGAGGTGCCATTCTCCCTGATACCGCAACTATTGTGAGTTATTTTCTGTTTTCTGCTGCTTGTACAACGCGATCTCAGATTCATAGTTGAAACTCACTTCTAATCTTTGTTTTTGCTGTGAACTACAAGTATGCTGCAGGATTCGGAATAGGTGGTACCAGTCTTCCATTTTGGAAAGACGTTTATGGTTTCAATATGTCTAGCATTGGCAAAGAACTTGTTAAGGATGCTGCTCAATTTCCTATTGTTGATGTTGTGGATGATTGCAATCTAGTGACTAATGCTGCCATTCTCCGGGTTAGTACTCATCCTTAAAATTGTGACTAAATTAAGATCCATCCCACAGTTTCATAAGAATTCTTGTTTCATTATTCTGGTCAAACACATGAAAGTTTCCTTCTTGTTCATGTTTCAATAACCTTTTCTTTTTCCTGAACGTATTTAGTGCGACCATTTCTTACCCCTTTCTCAATCATGCATACTTGTTGGCATCTTGTGGTGCCATTTAATTTCATCCTTTCTTTTAGCTTGGAAGAAGTAAAAGAAAAAGATCTTCAGAATTTTCTGACTGGGAAAGTGCCTTCATTTTTGTTTTGTTTAACATACGTTCCAATTGCTTTAGACTTTTGACCTGGCAACCATGAACCCTGAAGAAGTGGACTTCACAGCAAGTATTGAGTTGGAACCAAAGTACAGTTTGGCTAGCAACACCAGTGAAACGACATCTAAAGCAACATGGTGCTATGGGGTTGTATTGTGGTTCGACACTGGTTTTACATCCAGGTTCTGCAAAGAGACGCCGGCTGTTTTATCCACGTCTCCCTACACTCCCAAAACGCACTGGTTCCAAACAATTCTCACATTTCGAGAACCGATAGCGATGACACAAGGGAAACTCCTTGCTGATAGATCAGCAGCTGTTGGTACAGAAGCATGCCCTGCCGCAAAAATCCATTTGCGAATCAGCATTGTTCGCGCTGCTCAACATCGGAGCATTGATGTTTCCATGGAAACTAATACAGTTGGTCTGGATGGTCGGAAGAACACTTGGCCAGTCCAGATATTCAATCTATCGTAGAATATACATTTATATATTGGATTAGACCTTGAAATTACACCATTTGACAAAAATTTTGTCTTGTTTTGCCGGCTGGGATCAGTTTTAGATTATCCATTTTGCTCTCTTTAGAAGTTAGTTACACTATCATAATCAATTGTATTCATGGTTTCTAGTTCTACATAATTCGTCCTTGGCACAAATTTGAGGGCTAAATTACGGCTGTTAGAATCTGACTGATGCATTTTTTAAAACGTGAGGAAAGAAAGACATGAAGGAAAGTATATGTAAATGGCTTTTATAAAAGAACAATAAATATAACTAATTACAATTTTTTTTGGCTCAATTAGGTTTGATTTTATTTAAATTTTTGATTTGCTTTCAATTTTAATTATTCAATGACAAGTGACCAAAACTAATTGGCTATATGAATAAACAATTTGTCTTTCAATTAAAATAAACAAAATTTAGGAGAGTAAAATTAATTAAAAATTTTAAGCTATGCACTTATTTACTTATATTACATTTTGACAACATTTGAACTATATGATAGTAATATTTATATATAAATTAAATATTTTCATTAATACAAAACATAATATGAAATCTAATTGATAATATTTACATTTATTGATTAAAACGCAATAATAATTCTAATAATTTTTGGAAGGATTGACTATTTGCTAACGTGAAACGTCACATTCTATAAGATCATAATTCAATTAGAAATAACATTTCATCAAAATAAAAAAAAAAAAAAATTTAATTGGGCGTACGTCTTTATTTTTGTTAAACAATAGAATTTTGATACCGATTTAAGCATAATTAATTTCGTAAAATTAATATTTAGAATTTCAGGGAGTTGTTGACTATTACGTTAAGAGTTTCAACGTTACAAACTGCTTACAACAAGATAAATACATGTACAGTAAACTAATTTAAATTCCTTCCCCGTGTCTCTTCTCTTGCACCAAAACTCAAAGCAAAATTGTGCCAACACTCAGTAATGGTGAGAAATGACAGTAGGTTTATGCTCAAGCTCCACTTAGCTGGACAGTCATTTTTATGTTCATAGCTGCTAATTCGGCAGCCAAATATCGGAAGACGTAAGGCATCGCAACAGTTTCCATACCTTTACTTGTTTGGCATGCATGGCAAGCCACTTTTTTGGGAGCCCTCACTGGGGGTAAGCCGCCAATATCCCTAACCACCCGCTTTTGTGTCTGGACGAATGATGATGTGAGTATGCTTCCACATATAGAACACACGTCGGCAATGTGATAATCAGAACATGTGTGGAGCCTATCGTGCAACAAATATGCTGCCCCGTGAGCAAGCATGGCATCTCGTTCCATTTCTCCGAAACGGATACCTCCACCACGCTTTCTTCCTTTAATAGGTTGTCTAGTGACTTGGTCAACAACTCCCGTTGATCGCACCTACATGTCAATTGCAAGACAGGATATATCATGATCATCAGCCAAATATATTCTTTCACTGCAAGACCAACTTCCGCTAGGCATGTAAGTTGGTGGATGAACACAAATGGAGTTGCAAACAAGTTCCAAATACAGGCTTAGTAAGAAACTAAAACATTTCATAGAAGAGCAAGTGCTGAAATTTCAATTATAATAATGTCATCTGTCGATTAACTTGAAAAGAACTCTGACCTGAAATTTGTCTGATACCATGTGACGAAGGCGCTGGTAATAAACAGGCCCAATAAATATTTCACATGCGAGTTCTGTTCCATAAACCCCACTGTAAAGCACCTCTACACCATGGTAGTTAAACCCGTGAGATCTAAGCATTTCACCAAGGTCATCAACAAGAGATTCAGAATCTGACTTGTTGTCTCCCCCTTCAGCTTTTTTAACTGAATTGGCAAAAGGTGTAGCATCCACAAATTTTCCATTTAAACTACCCCCCTGAGACATTAAGTGTTCAAGTGTCCATCAATTATTTTCCAGACAGTTGCCAAATAAGATATGCTAATATTCCACTAATGCAGAAATATAGTGACTTATGCTGTATTTTCAAAGGAACAACACATAATACCAATTTGAAGATTTCTTTTTGCCACTACCATACCTTAGCAGCAAGAGATTCCAAAAGCATAGCAATTGTCATTCTTGAAGGAAATGCATGGGGATTGATAATCAGATCAGGACGCATTCCAGTAGCTCCAGAAAATGGCATGTCGATGTCTGGCCATAATTGAGAGCAAACACCCTTCTGCCCGTGTCTGCTACTAAATTTATCACCAATGATAGGGTTTCTGGGATGTCGAAAGCGTATGTTCACCTGTTCAAGCAAAGAAATAGAATTAACCAATAATAATAAGTGAAACATATTAAATGAGATAGCATGTATATTTAACATATCATGAAAAAATAAATTATTGTATAACCGGTAGCAAACAAACAAATTTCTGAGCAAAACAAAATTTAGATTTCTTGCTAGCTGAATTTGTATCACTCTAGTTCTAGGTTCGGTTTCAGGCAATAACAGAGAACTAAAACTACACTTTTGAAAAATAATAGATGAAACAATGCAAAAGAATTATCTTCTTTAAACATATTTTCCTACCACTTGATTCCCATTTGCTTATTTTTATTATGTTCTTTTTTTTTTTTTTTTTTTTTTTTATTATGTATAACCGGTTAGCCAAAAACAAAACCCAAATTCCCTCTGAGCAAAACAAAATTTTAGATTCTTGCTAGCTGAATTTTGTATCACTCTAGTTTCTAGACCGTTCGGTTTCAGGCAAATAAAACATGAGAACTAAAACTACACTTTTTGTGAAAAAAATAGATGAGAACAAATGCAAAAGAATTATCTTCTTTAAACATATTTTTCCTACCACTTGATTTCCCCATTTGGCTTATTTTATTTATGTTCTTTTTTTTGTTTTTTTTTTTTTTTAATCTGTGCAGCCAAGATTTGAAAGATATGAACTTACCTTACTGAATGTTGTTCTTGTTTTTCTGTATCCAAACAAGCACATAGTTCAACAAAAACAGGATCTTGAAACCTTTCCGATTATTGGTTTTCGTTTGTATTGTTACTGTCATTCAAAATGCCTTACAATAACGGTTCATTTGGATGTACTCATCTGGATTTAAATTTAGGAAATTCTATTCAGAAATTTTTTTTTTTTTTTTTTTTTTTTTTTTAATCTGTGCAGCCAAGATGAAAGATATGAACTTACCTTCTGAATGTTGTTCTTGTTTTTTGTATCAACAGCAACATAGTCAACAAAAACAGGATCTGAACCTTTCCGATTATTGGTTTTCGTTGTATTTGTTACTTCATCATAAATGCTACAATACGGTTCATTTGGATGTATCATCTGGATTTAAATTAGGAAATTCGTCATCAGAAATTTTACAGGATCAACCTAGAAGAATAAAAGGGTAGAGTGGGGGGCAAAGAGTGGAGAAACCAGAAATAAAAAGGTTAACCTGGCCAATATATGGAAGTCCATCTGAATCGATCACTGAGTGCCATGACCTATCAATGTTACTTCTCCTAAACATTTTTTGGGCTCGGGCAGACTTACTGCCTTCTTCAGATAAGTCAATAGTCTCTGTCTGCAAAAAGAATAGCAAAAGAAGAAACTCAAAGGATGATGGGGACAGGTCAAAATAACCAAATAGAATAATGACAAGTATCAGCGTGAAAAAACAAACTATAACAACACAAAAATATATATTGCTAGGAAAAGCAAGAAATTTTTATCTACAATCAGCAGTTGAAATGTTATAAAATCATTCACTCAAAGATGAAGGCACTATAGTTAGGAAAGTGCAAGAACTTTGATAGAAATGTTATCCAAGTAACAAAATGGAAAATGAAGAAGTTCCAGCAATATAAGTTGACACTAAGATAAAAATAAGCCAATAGTGGGAAAACCACAACAATAACTTTAATGATGAATAATTCTAAGGCATAGTGGGTACTACGTGCAAACCTGGTAGATTTGCCCATGGAACATTCCACGTTCAACAGATGACTTGTTTAGAATCATGGCATCCTCCATATCATATCTAGCAGACAAAACACAATTGTATTTAGAAATACTACGATGATTTTACTATGCATGCTTGTCTAAAATACTTACCCTGTATAAGCAAGCACTGCAACTATTGCGTTAGTCCCTGTTGGATACTCATCTATACAGTACTTTGTATATGCACTTGTGCGAACAATGGGAGTTTGAGGAGTCTGTGAATGTCCATGGTAGTTTAATCACACCAGTGAAAAGCAAAAATAGTAACAAAAATAATGACATACACAAGGCAAAGGGAAGAGAAGTAAATGCGACATTTATTTCTGAAGGTCAGGATGTCGGCTCTCAACCACCTTCTGGCTTATGGCCAATTTGCTTCTCAGCTGTAGAGGTTTTTGTGGGTATGCTCAAGAATTTTAATCCAACTTGGTAAAACATGTCACTCAGTAGTTATTCATTTTTACACACAAGGTCAAAAAGTCAAAACTATGTAACTCAGACTTTCATGTGGATATTCAAGCTGATTACTGGCCCAGAGGTCAAACTTGCCCATTTCCAAAATTAAATAAATTGTTCATATTAATTTGAATCATCAATGTATCATATACCCATGTCCAAAAATCCTTATCCGACACAGGTATTTTAGGGTAAAGTGAAGATTCAAACTGACAATGGGTTAAAAAAACGTACGACTATGCACAAGATAGGCATAGGGCAGTTAGTGGACATATAATCATCAAAAAGAAAGCATATCCAGAAAAGTTTTCCAGAGCGAAGTCTCCAATCACAAAAGCAAAAATCCGGAGAATGAATACAGGAGCCATGCCTGAAGATGGTATAGCTTTTGATCTGCTCGGAAGCGAAGAGATTGTAAAGAGAAAGCCATTGTTTGTTTTGCCATCTACAATAAACAAATTATAGAAATAAAATGTCAATGTTAAGCAAAGTTAAGGACAACAAAAATATTATTGGACTGTAAACAGGGCTTCCCTCAATAAAGCACAATATACACCTGACACTGGTACATATTTCGGGGACTTTGATTGTGGTCCGACCATGGAGTTAGGTTAGCCACCACACTCAGCATATCAGTAGGATGAATTTCTTCATGAGTAGCAGGAAATGCATCACTTCTTCCACCATTGCCACCATCTGGACATCTTATTTCCATGTACACCTAATATCAAATACATAAGCATGTCAGTTATAAGTAGGCATTTAGTCCTATCTTCAAGCCAAGAGCAAGTTTACCCAACGATCATTGCCCGAATTTTTCTAAAGCTATTGCTACAAAATAAGGAATAAATGCAAATATTCTTGTACCTGTTCAAATGGTCCAATAAGTTCAATGTTTCGACTGTCATCAGCAGGAATAGAAATATTTCTCACTGGACGAATAAATCTGGAAGGAGATGTGAATAGGTATAAACCAGGATATGCACCACCCATGCTCAAAGGAATATATCCGACTTCCAGATCATCAGGAATCTGCAGGATATCATTTATAAATGACAAGGAGAAAGAAATCTACTGGGAAAGCTAGTGAAGAAGTTTGGCAAAAACAAACCATTGAAGCAGCTGACACTTTTAATCTTCGTAAATGAGCAACAACTTTCTCAACTTCACTAGAAGGTATGGAGCCAACGACACGACCATCTAAAAGAACAGAAAGAACTTGAGGAGGCCCAGCTTGAACAAGCTTTGGCAACGAAGAAATCATTCCGAGACCAGTCAAAACGCCGAGGATAGACTTCCTCATGTCAAAAAAATCTTTAACAGCTCCATGCGAATCAAAGTATGAAGTAACTCCTGATATACATGACATCCCACAAAGTAAGAATACAATCTAAAATTAGATACAATCTATGAGTGATATCCAGAGCAAACCTAAAATTAGATACAATCTAAATGTCCTTGAGTGACCAAGTTCACATCAACTTGTCCTTGTCATGTAAGTTACAATAAGCAGAATATGTGATTTGCATAGAAAGATAACGAACTGAAGCATGACAACATAAGAATAGAATTACTAATAATCATTCATGCCAAGTAATTAACCAATCCCCATCATGATTCACTAAGCATTGCTATGAGAGGTTGTAATGCACTGCTTTTCCTTTAAATCAAAGTTAAACGAGAACTGAAGAACAGAAAAATACACTTCAGTGAAGAGATCTAAATAAGAAGCTCAACTGCCAGGAGAAACAAAGAGGCTGAAAAGAAAAATAGATGGGCATTCTTGTAACTTCTTAGAAAATTAAACAAATGCATGAGAAAAAAATTTTGAGTAAATGTTAGACTTACGACAAGAACGAGTCATATGGTTGAGCAACCCACATGGTTCCCCATCAGGTGTATGGACAGGGCAAAGAAAACCCCAAGATCTGTATTAACACAAACATACATAAATAACTATATGTGAACGTAAAGAATTTTACAACAAAGTTCATGTAAATTTCACATAAATTGGCATGTGCATACTCAGGTAGCAACTTCCGCACGCTTGTTGTACGCAATCCAGCAAAGGAAGCCCCTCTATGCACAGCACGGAAAAAAGAAAGAAAACGTAGAAAATTGAGCCTCTCTGCTTGAACTGTGTAACCAGCCCTCTAGTGAATCACAACAAACCCCATTAATGGATCACAAATAACAGACACAAGCAAATTATGCCCACATTATCCAACTGAAATCCTCATATAACTAGTAAAATGCAAACATGAATGTATTGTTAAGGCTAAAGACTGATTACAGTTGAAAGAAGAAAACAAGAAGCATGATAATTAACTATCCATCCAAGTTGATTCAATAAACAAACGAGAATCATAGACACATAAGCATGTATCATGTAGGACGGTGCACAACTGCACATAAAAAGCTTTATGCTTCAACTATAGAGTGCAAATGTGACAAACCCATATATGAGCCTTTGTATTGTATCTCATACTATTGCATCAACCTATTCAACTTCCACTTACAACTAGTCATCCGACAGAGGGACACATCCAGGTACATGCATGCAGAGAGAAAGAGGCAAGAAAGAAAGAAACAGTCTGGTCTATCAATACCTGCTGTAAATCTAGGCCCGTTTGTGTTATCAGTCTACCAGTTTTCAGCAAATTCTCCACAGCTAAACTGACTGATGACGAATGATTCTTATCCATAACCTTCTTGACATCTGAAACTGCATCGTCCCAAGCAACAAAAATGGAAATCAGTATCATCTTTGAGAATCTCCCCAATTTATTCATAAGCCATTTGCCAACAACTTTCAACAACTGCACAAGAGGTTAATCAATTACTTGTTCACTATGTATCCAGTGTTTGAAACAGATACAAGTATTGAAAATCCAATTTCTCAAAATTCCGAAATAGGAAATTTGAATTGCCTCCGAAATTTGTGTTCCCTCTAAACCCACCCAAATGAATGGTGAGGATAGCATGTCTAAGATTTTTGCTCCATGTCCCAACCGAGTCAAACTGAACCTGGTACCACCTGGGATGTCTCCACAATTCAATACACAAACTTTCACATTTATCATCAAATCCCAATGCAAAACCAGTGATGCAGGGACTTGAATTCACGTTTACAATGAATTCGATCCATAACATGTATATCAGCTTTTCTGCAGCAATATAGTCAAAACAAGTCACTCTCTAGATGAGTTGGATTCTTGTAAAGCACCAATAAACAAGGTGTTCTCCTTTTGGTGATAGTAGTCAAAGTTTTTCCGCATGTTGCTCAAGAATGCACCGGGTGGAGGGGAGAGCTACTTTTGTAGCCAAGCCACTAAACTCACAGAATAAAGAAACAATAGGTGGGACCAGGAAAGCAAATGCATTATATATACTACTTATATAAAAACGGTGGCATTAAATGCATGAATAATAAATAACATTGAAATATGAGGTGAGGACAGTAGCCTGTATAACAACAACAAAAAATGCCCGAGCCTCCTTGAGGGATCCAAAAAAAAAAAAGGAAGTATTAGTTGCACTTTCAAATAAGAAAGGGATGGAAAGTGGGAGATGGAGGGAATAGAGGAGTGCAAGAGAGAGACCCAATCATATAAAAGCAGAAAATGAAAGAATAAAATATACCTGACAAAAAATTGAGCTTCTTGTTTTTTTCAATCTCTTCTTGAATAACTTTTTTCGCTTTACGAAGCCACTCTTCTAGTTTCTCCTATAATTATGCATAATATAACTACGTCAATGTCACAATTATTGGAACTTAATCATATGCCGTCATCAGATGATAATAGATGAGCACGATTTCACAGTAACTGGACAGTAGCCAAGCAAACCAGGACATTGCTCAAGACATCAGGACACAAACACATCTCTCTGGATGTATGACTTCAGGAAAATACGAAAATCAAGAAATTAAGAACAGAATATATAATTTTAACAACATATAATATCCCCTTCTCACATTCACTTGAAAGATAGAATTAATGTCTCCCGTAACCACTGCATCTAAAATTTTAAAATCTTAGTGGTGACTGCTATTTTGGTTTAAAGAAAAAAAAAGGAAAAAGAAAAAGCAAACGCATTTCATTTTCTTCTGTCCAGCTCTTTAAAAATCAGTTTGGGCCTCCTTTTAAATTTGAATAAATCCCATTTAGTTTGGTTGGGTTTTGATAATACATAGATATACATATACACACACACATACACACACACATACACACAACCAAAAAAACCTAACCTTAATATACACATATGTTCATTACATAAAAATATTTGAAATTTTGGTTAGTCCAGTGTTTCAGGTTTGGTTTTAAAATTTTTTCTTTTTTTTGCCGTTATTTGCTTCAGCTTAGTTTTTATAAAATTTTGTTCAGTTCAATTTCTTCTCTAGTAAAAATTGGTTATTTCAGTTTTACAAAATTCAAACCAAACCAACTGAAATGCTTAACCTCTATAAAAATTGGTTAATAAAAATCCTCTCTTTCAAGAGATACCAATTCTACTTGTTTTCTACCTTGAGATAAATGGTAATGAGGTGTCCAGGAAGTAAGATCTCCTGATTTTGCAGGGAGTCTGGGTTGTCTTCCACAGAAGTCTTGTCTACAAGAGAGAACAGTTTCTGCAACATGAAGCTAAAGAAGTAAAAGTCAAATACAAATCTGAGCATGAGAAACAGCACAAAATATAAAGAAAGTAGCGATATTCCTAAAGTTGTAACTGGCTGGGACAAACTTATGAGATAGAGAGAGAGAGAGAGAGAGAGAGAGAGAGAGAGAGAGAGAGAGAGAGAGAGTTGCAGGGCATCGGCGTTGTCTCACAGAAGTCTTGTCTACAAGACGAAACAGTTTCCTGGCCAAACATTGAAGCTTAAGAAGTAAAATTCAAATTCAAATCTGAGCATGAGAACAGCACAAATATAAGAAAGTTAGCGCATATCCTAAAGTTGTAACTGGGCTGCGGACAAAATTTATGAGATAGAGAGAGAGAGAGACGAGGAAAGATAGAGGGAGGAGAGAGCAGCAGAGAGAGAGAGAGAGTTAGAGAGAGAGAGAGAGAGAGAGAGAGAGAGAGAGAGAGAGTTGTACTAACATGAGCAAATTGAACTTGTCATCATAATTAGTAAGATGGACAAATACATAATCTTTTAGAACTGCATGGGCAACCTGCCAAAAGTTAAAAAAAAAAAAATGTCAGCAGAAAGACACTCCAAGTAATAAATCTCATAAGCTTGCTTCACAGGATGTGACCAAAATTGTTTTGCATCCCCCTCCTCTAAAAAGACAAAACAAGATGGAGCGTATGGAGCTGAATGGAACTTACATTAGAGAAACTTTCTTTTTCCAGCCCATCCATGACAGGTTGGAAGTGCTCCCCTGTGAAAGGAACAGAAGTAACATTAGTTACTGAGTTAGAAAACATAAAAATGAGGTTAGCTGTATGACCATGGCAAATACCAATATGCCGCAGACATTCAGTCTGAGTGAAAAGAGATAAGCCTCGAACTTCATCAAGAATAATTTTTGCCCTTTCACCCACAAACTGAGAGCCAACAGCTCCCTTTGTCTTATCATATTTCTCATCAAAGCAACATGTCAACTTCTCATAAATTTCCCAGTCAGTAGTCTCAGCAAGTGCCTGTTAACAAGCACCAATTCTTTTAAAACAAGCACCAAATACAAAATAAGCACCGAGGAGGTAAGTATTGATGCATCTACCCGATACTGGTATGTGCCATCCAATGGTACACTATAATGTTCTAAATCATTTTCTATCACACCACTCAATTATTTTAATACAGAGCAGGATAATTTGAAATTTTAAGTTCCTATCATCATACTTTTCTCCCCCCACTTTCTGAGAAAGTAAGTGACCATATCTTCCAAGGACAACTCTGTAATTTTTTTGTAAGATTAATATCTAAAGTAACTGTTATTTTACACAAAGTCTCCAAGGAAAGAGAAATGCATGACTACAGATTAGAAAGTATGATAACAGAACACCTTCAGAACAATGCCAACAGGAAGCAAGTACTCCCTTCCTTGTATCCTGGGAAAATAAATTGAAAAGAATAATCTCAATTTGGTTTCATAAACGCAAGCCAAAAACAGGTACTCTAGCAACAACACTTAGAATTGCTCACCAAAATCCAAGTCTTGCACTTCCACTACGGAGGTAATACAATTTAACTGTTACTGAAGATTGGTCTGTTAATGAGGATTGGTATTCTCGTACACACCTGGAATGTAAATCAAAAGTATAGCAGAATAAGAATGATGCAGTAAGGCATGTAACTCAGAGGGTATCATTCTGAATGTGAATTCAATGGCAATTAACAAGTGTCCTAATAGCAACCGATAGGACAAGGCAGTTAAGACTGCTGATTGTAATTTCAAATTTGTGCAGGCATTTCGAGGCACCTTTCAGTTAGAACCAATTAGTTATCTAGTTAAGACACTTAATTTGATGTAAAACACCAATTCCCATAGAAAAAGTAACTGGTGCACGATTATCAAATAACTGATCAATTGCTGCGACATCATTTTTCATAGTCAGTTACCATATATATTTTCAATGTAGGCTGGGTAATGTACTTTTCATTAGGCTGAGCTTTATTTGATCAGTTGGCACAGATTTGTTGACGCCTTGAGTTGAATTTTTAGATCAAAGCAACTCAAGTGCAACTCACACGAAAGTTAAAGCAAACAAAATAATGAGATGATAGTTGTTAATAGTAATCATGAGGCTGAATTGGATGTTGTTAAGCACTACGAAAGATTTGAGTAGCAACTTTAGATTAATAAAATACCAATTATTCTATAGTCTACATGGAAGAAAAATACGAGGATAAGGTAAAGAAATAAACAGCATCTGGATGTGAACTACCAAAATTTCAAGGCCATAAGTTATTAAGAATCAACAAAAAATTTCTATTTCATAGTATGCCTCTACCTTAAATGGTTAATGGGAGTACCAGAGAGGCCATAGAGGTAGTGCTGTAGCACACTATTGTTGTTTGATAGAAAAACAAAAAGAAAAGGATTTCAGAAGGATGGTGGAGGAGAAAACATTAGGAGAACGCATTACTTTCAGTCATGATTCAAAGGCCAGTCAATCATTGAGCACCAAGAGTAAGGATTAGGTATTAAGGATCTTAAAGCAATTTTTTACCAAAACCAACCAAATACTTCATATATTATTATAAGATTAGATGAGAAGTATGCAGAATCAGTACCAATAACACAAGAAGAAGTCAGCAAGAGTAAGAACCTTATGACGACAGCTTTGTCAGTGTATCCTTCCCGCCGATCACGAAAAGAACCCCGCACCATACTCATTGGCTGAAACGTGAAATACTAATTCAGTTATGCTATGCAACATATAAAACCAGAAAACAAGAAGAAAATGATAATATGTTATTGGAAGATTCTAAGAAAAACATGTATGCAAATGTTATTCTTTCTTCCGAAACACATTTAACAGCATTCCAAAATTTAAAGCACTATACTTTTCTGAAACAACACAGCTAAGTTCTAAAAGCGGTAGTTATATTCTTTCCAATTATAATGTGGAAGTACTGTTATCAAGCTGATGACCATGGAGCAGAATTGGTAAACTCTGCCTGAGGAAAATATCTGCCATAGCACCTCTACTCTATCACAGCAGAAGTACAAACTTAAAAGCTCCACACTTACATAGTTCCGCTTTGGCATTATTAGACATCGAACAACTCTCTCAAGCCCGTTCAAAATGAAGTACCTATATTACATTGAAAAGAAACATCAATTAAAAAATCAAAGAAAGCAGAGGTTGATAAGGAACAGTTTTCACTGAAAAAAAGGAAAACACAAAGGTGTCTCCTAAAAGGAAATTCACCACCAAACTCAAAGGTCATCCTAACAATAGATGATCTAAGAATAGAGAAAGCTTGCAATGAAAAAAATAAAAAAGCAAATAGTGCGAAGCTTATAATGCCAATGAACATAAATTAAATAGGCATCAGACTTTTTGAGTTTTAGCACAAGAATAATACCATGTTGATCATATTAATAATATTCTTTTAAGCTTTCACAGTCAGGGCTCCAATCCATATGCTATATCCATAAGAGGAGAAATTATTAGGTAGGCTTAATCTACCATGTCAGCTGTAGATCCACCCAATGAAATAAATCCACCTCAGCAACTTGCTTTTTTCATGCTTATTCCCTGTTAATTCTTTCACGTTTTCCGTTTGGTTAGAGATAGGAAACCTATCTAAGAATTTCTCCCATGAGAGGGGTGTTATATAATATTTGGAGAAGAGGCTGTCAAGAACTTCTAAAACCCTAATATGCAAAATTTCTCATGAACTCTACAAAATACCCTTAGTCTAAACTATCAAATTCTTTTTATGAGACTTGAGTAATTAAGATCTTATGTATTCATACTAAACAGAAAAGTCTAAGCATTCAAAAAAAAAAAAACAAAAAAAAAAAATCCTTTTAATCCTCAAAGTTCAATTCAAATATGTCAAGAATTATTTAAGACACACACTTCAATGGTTTAAAAGGAAAAGGCTGGTTTTTCACCAAGTTCATATGCATGATCCATGCAGAGATGCTGGTGTTATGAAGTAAAACAAAGCAAATATATCTAGTATAGTAATGTGGTTTTCTTTTCTGTACACAGATGTATAGTCTTATCCTTCATATAGACCCGAAAAAATTTATCATAAAGATAAACCACACAAATCATTTATTGTGTTGCAACTATAATATGATGTCAAGCAAATGGACAAAAAGTTACTCTTGAACTTGCATGACGACAAGCATCTTACATTAACACTTCAATATATAATAAGGTACACATCAAGCCTAGTTACAAAACTAGAGCTACTATTTTGTAGTGATTCTTCATACTAGCAAAACTTCTATGGTAGTTTGGTGTAGTTTGATTTCATCGCCAGAGTATCATATGCCAATCCTAGCATAATAAACATGTGCATCTAATTAAAATAATGGGATCCAACACCGAAGTACAAGGAAGGATGCATTGAATTCATAAGAAAGATGATAACTTACCCGCCCATCTCGGATGACTCTTCCTTCATGGAAACCAATTTTTGAGAATCAGCACCATACAAGTGACAGAGCCTTGACTGTTCAGATACACTTAGCACGTTAATATCCAAGCAAATAAAACCATTAGAATCCTACCATCTTGGATACATTATTTGCTAATGAAAACAATGAGTTAAAAAACTTGCAGGGCTGCTTATTTATTTTTATAAAAATCAACCTTTATATTTTTCTTTTCATTCTCTGTGCAATACTACCCAACATACCAGGGATCATTTGAACATCGACTATTATGAATCCATAAATTATATGCATATAATGAACCTTTGTTATATAAGTAAACACATGTCTCACTAGAATAACAATGTTACAGACACCAACAAGACAACTATGACAAAAAAAAAAACAGTCTCCAAAAAAAAATTTGAAATAGCAAATCTGCATCAAAATATATTTGAGGATTTGTAGTGAATGGTTAAAGGAAAAGGAATATGAGAAAGGATACCTAACAAACTTGCAAACTAGTGCATATTTCGCGTACAGAAACAGGAAAATACATGGGGACAGCTTACATATGCATGTGAGAGAACACTTAGCTGTGTTGACAATGATTCATCTTTTGAACTTGCCACATAATTGTGAATTGTTTTTTTCACTTACAGGGTGTAGAGCTAGAATATCAGTGCAGGAAAAAGAGTAGGAGAATGGAAAACTAAGGGGTTGTTTACTTGTAGAAAACTGAAGTGGTTTTCTAGTAAAATTTTCAGGAAAACTGGAAGACAAAGTTTTGTGTTCAATCGGTCAGTTTTCCAGTTTACCAAAATTTAATTAAGATTTGAAAAACAGCTTTAAATTGTTTTCCTTTATAACAACGTTCATGTTTTCCAACTGTTTCCATTGAAAAAAAAAATTACATTTCATAATTAATATTGTAACATTTACAATTTTTTCTACAAAATGATTTTATTGGAAAATAAATATTTAAATAACTTAATCAAATATATATTTTTTTAAAATTAAACTATGCTTTAATATGTAATTACTTTTATTATTACAAAAATAAATTATAATTATATCATTTATTTTTAAAAAATTTTACAAAAATATAAAAAATAATAGTATTATAATCATAAATAATCAACAATAAAAATTCAAAAATTTTAAATAAAACATTTCTAAATTCAGTTTTATAATATTTTATTTCTTTTAATTATGAAAGTTATGAATAATATTTTTTGAAGTTTTTAAATTAAAATATAATTTTTATTATTACCACGTGCATGCATTTTCCATTTTCCATTTTCTGTTTTCTAGTTAAACTGTTTCTACAAGTAACACACCCTAAGAAACTTGTAATTAGTGCATATTTCGAGTACAGAAACAAGAAAGTACATGGAGACTCAGACAGCTTATATATGCATGTGAATGAACAGTTAGCTATGTTGACAATGATTCATCTTTTGCACTTGCCATAAAATTGTGAATTTTTTTTTCCACTTACAGGCTGTAGAGCTCGAATATCAATGCCTCAGTACATCAGGCCACTGAATTTCTGGAGCTCACTACAGGAAAGGCAGCAAAAACTTAACTCTGACCATTGATCAATTGGCAATTTGGCATCATAACAGAACAAGATGAGACTTCTATATTTACAAAAGCAAGATTAATGGGTTGGTCCGATGGCTTTTGTAGCATTGAAAGATGAAGCAAATTAATGACACTTACTAATAAAGCAACAAATGCTCTTCAATTGCACTCCAAACTAATAAGCTGCATCAAGCAAATGAAACTAACCACACAGTTCTCTCCCCTCCCATGAATTTCTCTATTCAAGTCGGGCAAAACCCAATGCATCCAAACCAAAGGAGAATCACGTATGACATAAAAATAAATAAATAAAAATAAAACAAAAGCAGTTAATACACAACTACCACAACAGCTAAAATCTCAATTACAAACTTGAAATCACATCATTCTATTAAATGTTGAAACTAACCAAAAGATCACCAACCTTTAACATGATAGGAAGCTGACCGAAATTATACTTTTCTCTTATTACCGGTCTGCCACGATACTCGAAGCAAACATCTGCCTCGAACTTTCCACAATAAGAAACCTTCGCCTGTCGACACTGTTTCAAAATAATACAATAAAAAACAATTGCCCGATAATTAACTGAAAGACGAACAGAAAGCAATTCTAGAGAGAGAACTGACTTCGAAAGGAAGTAAACGTTTAATCTTCGTTCTCAAAGCTTCCCTTACAGGCTCGTACACTTTAGGATTACTCAAGTACAGTGGGCAACAGTTAAGAAAAATGAATGAATTTGAAGAAACCAAACAATAGAAAAGAAGAGAGTGAAAACATAGTGGAACAAAAGGATATATTTGAGACTGGTGTTGGTGAAGGAATCATGAATTTCGACAGGCTTGATATTATCCAACATAACTTCCAATCCTCTCTCCACCATATAATCGAATGAATCTATGTGATGCTTTGCTAGCTCTTGTAACTCCCTGAAGTCTCCCATTGCTGCACCTGATATTTGCTTCTTTTGCGCCATTAGCTTCCTCTTAGCTGGTAACTGGTTAAGAGAGAAGCTTATTTTGTTAGTAGCTTTTGTTCTGTAATTGATCGCAAAAGAAGCTTTCCCTTGAGCTTTCAGAGACAGCTTCTGTCTTAGGAAATGGTAGGGGTTAGGGTTTTAGGAAAAGCGACTGGGATTGGGTTTCAAATTTTGCTGGGCTTGTCGGATTTGGCCCATCAAGGTCGACTTCAAAATAAATAAATTGACACGTGAATTATAGTCAAATTAAACATAAGTACCTCTATTTTTTAAAAACCAACTAAATCCCCAAATTATGATTTTTCTAACACTTTAGTACTTTCATCTAAAATAAAAAAAACTAGTGTATTAACAGAAATTATTAGGTTATAGGATCAATTTCTCAATCAATTGATATTCAAAATACTATTTTCGATGAAGGAATAAAGCATTAAAATAATATAAATCATGACCTTGTAATTAATTTTTGAAAATAAAAATTCTCATGTGTTAATTTATTTTTAATTTATAAATTTTTTTTATTTTTTTTTATGCTACTATAAAAAAATTAAATTATTGCGTTTAAATGAGTATCTCATATCACAATGCATAAGAAATCCAAAATGCACTTAAACAATAATTAATTATACTCTACATATTGCTTATTAAATTCGTAAATTCATAAATTTATTTCAACTTTTATATTTGGTACGAATGAAGTTTATTTTACATGTTTAAAACTAAAATTTATAAAATTCAATGCAATTATATCAATTTTTGACATATATATAATGGATTATATATGTCAAAATCATTAATGCTAAATAAAAATAATTATTATTATCGTAATGATTTTATCTGAATATTATTACGTGTATAAAATAAAAAAATATATAAATAATTATAAATATCAATGAAGTTACGATGTACAAAATGTATAAGTTTGCAATAAATGGCATGCTAAAGAAGAAAACATCTAGAGGCAAATAAATATATTCTTTAACTAGCAATTTTATTTTATTTTTTTAAGATAATGGGGTTTAATACATTCTTATATAAGATAATAATATATTTCTATTTAGGATATTTATAATATCCTATAGTTTGAGATAAGGGTTGATATATTCCTATTTAGAATATTCCTATTTTATATTATTAATATTAAAAAGAAAAAGCTAAACAAATAAATCCAAGAACTCCAAAAATTAAAAGGGAAAAAAAAAAAAATCTAAGCAATAATACACCAATAGAATCTGCAATAGGCTCCACATGAAATATCCCAACCCACAATCGCATTCCTACGGCAACTGCCTGCGCCTTTCTGCTACATCAACTGAAACAGAAAAAAGAGTCACTAAAATCAACGGTCAGGATCCTCCAGTCCCGATTTTTATCTGGTGTTTTCCGTACACACAGAAAAAAATCTAAACCTCTGCGCCCACCGTCGACACATAGTTAAACCATCTTCAGTTTGACACGTGTCTATTCTTTTCTCTTCCTTAAAATTTTGCTGTCTGTCTCCTTGGTCCCCAGCCCCTAAATCTCTGATTTTACTCCAAACACCAAAATATTTAAACTTAGATTTTCCTAATCTTGATATGAATTTGAATGATTGCGTTAAAAGTAAATTCAATTGCCTTAAAAGGAAATTTAACTCATCATAAATTCAAATTAATAAATAAAAAAGTATTAATGAATTTGATTGATTGCTCTCTCATCCTATTAATGTTCCTAAAGCCCATATTTTAAACACTATTTTAGTAAAATGACATGTATGAAATTGTAAAAAAATTATTAAAATTAAATATTATTACAAAATTTTTAATTTAATAATTCTTTTGTTTCAATTAAATTTGACACTTTTAAACTTTTATAAAAATAAAAGAAATGATTGATTTATCTCAACTCTTAAAAATATAATAGTAATTGACCAAATTACTATTTAATTAATTTTTTATAATTAAAAAGGAACAAATTTGGTGGAAAAATATATATAAGGGTAAAGTTGGAATAATTATATTACCTTGTGATATTTAATATAACAAAATAAAAAATAAAAAATATCAAAATAACATAACAGAAGTATATTTGCTGTGAAATAATTAATTTAAAATAAATATTTCATCTCATAATTTTTATCATAATTTGAATCGTATACAAATTAAGAAAACTTAGCTGATATATTTAAATTATAACTTTTGCTTTATTTTTTTTGACATACGAGAACATTTGATAAAATAGATTTTTCACGAAAAACTAAATATTGATATTTTAATTTTATTTATATTAAGATTTAATTAATAATAATATACTAATTTGACTATTATATCTACTGAAAAAATGTGTTAAATAAATATAAAATAATAAATTTTAAATATTATTCACTAAAAAAACACTGTATGTTTGTCAAAACTAATAATAATAATAATAATAAAACTAGTATTATATGTGCTAAGCGACTTTAATTAATTTTGAAAAAAACAGCTGATTAAACGATTTACATGTCAATTGCAAAAATTTATTAATTAATTAAAATCATTACGAGTTGCTTCGTACATGTATGACGCCCCTCTTTCTTTCATAACTCCAAACCACACCAGGTCTCACTTCTCTCTCTTCTATTTATCTCTAGAAAATTTGCTCTCTGTGTTTTTTGTGTATTTGATTCTGTGTGATTGCTGGTGGGTACAGGTGGGCAAAACAGAGTAAGATCTGATGTACTCGCTGGTGGATCTTTATTTAACGCAAGATCATGATGGCCCTTGAAAATAAAGGTATGTTCTTATTGCTTAATTTCTTTTTTAGGATATGTTTTTAGTTTTGTAAATCCAAGTTTAAATTATGATCTGTTGGAGTGTTGGGCTTAATTATGTACAATGGTTATCGAATTTATGAGTATTTCAGTTTGGTTTCTGGTGTAATTAATGTAATTTTTTGTTTTTTCTCTAATGGGTTTCGGTTCCAATGTGCAATTAACTACCAAAACATGCACTTATTCCTCTTTGCTTTTTAAGAGTTGACCACTGTGTCTGATAATACTGTGCTATAGTTTTGTCTTGGGCCAAAAATTGGAGTAATTTTATGCTCAAGTGCTTCATTTTGTGGTTCGGTTGGTAGTGGGATATTTGTATCCAAGAGTCAAATAGAAATTGAAAAATTGGATTACCACTAAGACTTGAAGTAATTTTATGTTCGTTCAGCGAAGATTTGCAAGGGATTGAAAGGGTAATGGCATGTTTTAGTTTGTTCTTTTCAAGCATCTGAACTTTGAACGAGTCCTACAACTTGAAAAGAATGAACTTAGTATCCAGTAGTCATGTTCCATGGACTTTGATAAACGACATCCTCTTCCAACACACTGTGTGATTCTCTTTGTTTTATCTAATTGGCTGAGGGTTATGAGTTATATTATCATTCGGTATAGGTACTTTGTTTGGAAAAATCTTTGTTGTATTTGTGACTTTCAATCATTGTAGTAAAGTCAGTTTACTCAGCAAAAAAGAAAGAAATTTATCAAATCAAATGTCTTTAAGTCAAGGTTCTCTTGTTTTGCATAGATGTAAAGATCAATCATGGTATTGAGACGACCAAGGCACAAACCCATAAAATGTCATGGTTCATGGAGTCTGTTGAGGTTCATGGTCTTATGAATCTTTGTCAACAATTAATGGATTCTCATAATGTCTGACAATTTTAACTACATGAGCCTTTTTCTCATTATTTAAGACTGTAGGATTGTAATTGTTTGATTTCTGCAAAATGGCCTTTCCATGCATAGTAATGAAAGATTCATAATGCAAATGGCATTTGTTGGGATTTTCAATTAATTAATCTCTGGAATGGGTTCTAGCATAGTGCTGGATTAATGGAAGTCACTTCTAGGCAAAATTATGGATGCTATGTAAGAAGTTGAAAGAATTGACTGCCAATTAAGGTCAATTGCAATTTTATCAAGAAATCAACTTAGAAATTTTTTTAATAAGCCATAGATTCTTGGTTTGGTGAACCAGGATTTATTTTTTGTCTCCCTCATTGGACTTTAAATGAGGGTTATACTGGGCCTTTAGATGTCATGTGATTTAAATGTCATCATCCAATTTGCGGCGTGAAGGTGCATCACAGTCTTTGTTTTGAAGGTAGTGTTGTGTCTCATGCTGCTGCTTGACTTTTGGTGCGTCTCTTGTGATCTTGGTTGTTTGATAATGACAATATCAAGCAACATTTTCATTTAACCTCATGAGTGATGCTCAGCGCACTAGCACTTCAACCTAACCAAAAGATGTTGTATTTTTGTGTGATTATTACCCTTTTCCTAGTTCTTGGCTACATTGATCTTCCAACTTATTTTAATAGCTAAGTTCATCACACCCATTTAAAGAAGTTTGATTTATCCTCCATTCTGTGTAGGCCAATGGCTCTCCTTTTAAATTCTTGTTTTCCTTTTACATTTCACAGCTCATCTACCATAGCTAGGCCGCTAGAGTTCACAATCCTTATGAAACTCCTTTGGCAGTGAGTTTTGATGGTTTCCTCTTGCCCCCTGCTCCCCACCCAAAAAAAGAAAAAAAAAAAATCCAAAAAAAGGGGAGTTAGTTAGCCAGACTAGCCAAGAATCACATCATAATAACGTCTACATAGAGTATGATACAGAAGCAAATCTATTTAGCTGACTCTTGCCGATTTGGGTTTGAGGTTTAGTTAAGTTCATGATTTTATAGTAAGGACTCTGCCTGTATTGATGCTAGAGCGCTTGGCTATTCGACTATAAGAGCACAAATTCAAGTCCTGAAAGTAGCCTTAATGTAGAAATTCAGAAGAAGAGGATCATGTTCAATTTTATTTTATTTTCCACAATTCATTTTAGCCAGATTGTAACTTGGCAATGATCTTCTAGGAAGACCTTTTGTGTGTGTTTCAATTTTTAGCATCTGGATTTTTGCTACCATGCTCCCAAAAAGAAGCTTCAAACTTACATGTGTATAGATCTTGTTAAGCCTCCTATACATTCAACTGTGTCTATCTTACACAGCATCTTTAAACATTACCATGAAGACTTTGCTTTAGTAACTACTGCTTATGTCCTGTTGTGTGTTTCACTACTTTCAAGTTTTCTATTTCTTGTTCCTCCTTTTCCAGATTGGGGTTTGGTTGTACCTGATACCTTTGGTTTGTAGTTATGTATTTTGGTTCTGCTGGACAGTTAATTATAATTGTTGATGCTGACAATTAATGAATTCATGTTTCATTTTCTTTTATGGCTGATGATGATATAAGTCTATAGATTCATTTTTTTCTCAGATGTTTGTTGCTTTTGTTTTTACTGCAGAAACTATTCAGAGGAGCTGTGAGGCATCATTAAAATGCCTCCAGACCAAGGGATTCCCTCATGGGAATTCGATCGATGGCTTTTCGGAGCTTGAAGAAGAAGTTAATGTTCACCCAGGTGGGCATGTTGTGGCACCAGTTCACTCCCTAAGCCGTGAATATCTTGAACTTCCTAGTGAATTTAACACAAAACCTACCTACCATCATGATTTTGGCTCGTGGTCAAACTTCTATCCTGACTCTCAAAAGGTGCAGCAATGCCAAATGAATTGCTTTGAGAGCCAATTTTACCCCTTTCCCATGGAAACTCGATTTCACTATGCTCCATTCAATATGCATTCCCAAGGTTACCCGCATCAGTTCCAATTCCAAGATTTTCAGTATTTTGTAGTCATAGACTTTGAGGTTACTTGTGACAAGGAAAAGAATCCCCATCCGCAAGAGATAATTGAGTTTCCATCTGTCATTGTGAGCAGTGTAACTGGCCAACCGGAAGCATATTTCCAGACATATGTGCGGCCAACTTGCAATCAACTCCTTAGTGATTTCTGCAAGGATCTGACTGGTATCCAGCAAATCCAGGTTAGTGAGGATACCCTTTACCTCATAAAAATGATGCATAAATGTATATGTTGTTTGCAATGTTTTGTGTAAGTATCCAGTTGACATTTATTAGGTTAGCCCTTATTTTCTGTTTGAATGCTAGACTATCAGTGCCATTGTTCTAATGGATCTTGTTGTTAATCAGTGAGGCATTGTTGGTAGGAGCTACATTAAATTGACATTTACCTTATCTGGTGGATTTGCATTTTTTCAAGCATTACTTCACTTTTGTCATTTTAATAATTGTAATTAGGGGCAAATTGTTAACATTTTGGAAAAATCAGAGTGACTAGCGTTTTGGAATTTCTCAATTTGAATTTGGAGAAAAAAATATGGGAGGGTATTATGGAGATTCATTATAACTGGGAAAAGCATCTGGTATGCAATGTTATCCTCGCTGGGGCTTTTTCAATTTAGAGTAAAAAAAAAGATATTCACATCACTGGTATTCCTTTTGTAGCTACCATAGATTAGAGATTATTTAACTCTTCCCAGTGATTGTTAAATGCACGATAATTTAAATGAATTAAATTTTAAACTTAGTAAAACAAATTTCTCCATAATGTACTGGGAATAAACATACCAGTTTCTTTTCTTGTTGGACAGGTATTTTGGAAGCTTTCTAGTTCTACTTCTAGGCAGGGCTTAGAGTTTCAAACACCATAGATTATATCATGTAAGATTACCTATTGTACCTGTCAAAAAAAAAAAAAAAAAAAAAAATTGTTTCGGGAAGCTTTCTGAGTTCTCCTTCTTGGCTAGGCAGGGCTTAGAGTTTCAAAAACACCATATGATTATATCATGTAAGATTTACTATTGTACCTTGTCAAAAAAAAAGAAAAAAAAAAAAAATGGGAATGCATCCAGTAAGACTACTACTCAACTGGCTACTGGTTGTGGAGATGTCCTCAACCGGCCCATCATCTTTCAATGATCTTACTTGCTCCACTTGTTTAAAAAAAAAAAAAAAAAAAAAAAATGAATGCAGTCCAGTAAGACTACTACTCAACTGGCTACTGGTTAAGTGGAGATGTCCTCAACCGGCCATCATCTTTCAATGATCTTACTGCTCCACTTGTTTATGAGCCCTTGTTATTATGCCTGACGATGATTGTCCATTAGAAGGCTTCTAATCTAGCTTAAAGTCTACACTTGGAAGGTGGAACCTTTGGGGAAAGAAAATAGAGCTATTTTCTACTATCTTTTTTTTGGGAAAGAAGGAAAAGTGGGAGAAATGGAAAATGCAAGTGGAAAATAAGACATGAGGCCCATACTTTCTCTTACATTGGAGGAAAGCGAAGAGAAATTTTGTGAAATAACAATTTTATCTCTACACATTTTTTAAAAAAATTTTCAAAAATCAAGGGTGAAATCGTAAGTTTATCATTCAAAACCAAGGTTCCCTTCGTTCCATCCGTCCTTGTCCAGAGTGGGAAAAAATGTTTTTTTTCCCCATTAATCTTCCCTTCTACTCCACCTCACCCAAATAGAATGTGAATCTCCCTTTCAATGGATTTGCGAATGAATAGTATGGTAGTATACACTTTTTTTGTAGAACTTGGTTCTGAGCATTAGAACTTCATATGATACACATGGTTAAACATGCCGATCATATTTCATGGTGAAAGTTGGGATGCTGGGAATAATTTCTGTGATAATGCACATGTACATACCATTAACATGATTTCTCTATTTTTGGCATCTTCATTTATCATACCAAGATGTCACCATCCAAACTACTCTATAGATTTATGTACTGTGTTGGTCTTATTTATATGTTTCTATGTGGTTCCAGGTGGACAGAGGTGTTACCCTCACCGAAGCACTCCTCAGACATGACAAATGGCTTGAGAATAGAGGGATAAAAAACACTAATTTTGCTGTTGTAACATGGTCGAACTGGGATTGCCAGGTTATGTTGGAATCTGAGTGCCGATTCAAGAAGATCAGGAAGCCCCCATATTTTAATCGGTGAGCAGCAAAATCATTGCATGATGTATTAAATGTGCTCTGCTTTTGAATAATTTTTTTAATTGATAAAATCTATATAATTCATATTATTAATAGATGGTAGCTGTTCTGCATCTGTCATCCTATTCTTTTCTATAATCTAGAAACTGACCTTTATGGGCATGAATTAATATTGACTAACTTTCTGGTCATTTACATTTTTTAGGTGGATCAATTTGAAAGTTCCTTTCCGTGAGATATTTGGTGGGGTTAGGTGCAATCTAAAAGAAGCTGTGGAAATGGCAGGCCTAGCATGGGAAGGCCGTCCTCACTGTGGACTGGATGATGCCAAAAACACTGCTCGACTACTTGGCCTCCTTATGCGCAGGGGTATCAAATTCGCTATAACAAACTCACTAATGTGGCAAACAACCGATGGTTCATTGTCATGGAAGCAATCCCCTGACCCCTTGTCTTCACCACATCCCCCCTACAAACTGAAGGAACTGCATATTCCTGTTTTCCAGTATCATCCCTTTTGTTACTGTGGAGTGAAGAGCAGCAAAGCTGTGGTCCGGAAGCCTGGACCAAAGCAAGGGAGCTTTTTCTTTGGCTGTGGCAACTGGACTGCCACTAGAGGTGCCTGCTGTCATTACTTTGAATGGGCGTCTCCCTGACCAAAACTATGGATAGACATCTCTATGTTTGATCATTGCATCCTAAACTCTTGCAGGATGTAATATGTAAAAATTGGAAAAAATGATGGAAAGGAAAGTTAGTGGGTTGTCTCCTAGTTGAAGCTTTATCTGCCTCAACTGTTTGTTGAGGTTTCTGCTTCTTAGAGAGTTAAAAAAACATATATAAAAATAGTTGGCTAGTTGCTGGTGAGTGTGTCTGGTAAAATCTCAACTAGGGAGCTACAACCTGTAAAGCTGACTTCTTGTTGACAGGAGAACATATTGGGAATGTGAAGAATGGGTAATTTAGGGTGATGCATTTTACATGTTCAGACATGCTAAATTACCATTATCGTGAATAATCTTGTGAGATGATAGGGACAATTGGGTTTTCCTATGGATTTCTAATGGGAATATGGGTAGAAGTGCTTGTCCCAAATTTGCTGATTTTTCTTCTCTTTTTAGGTCTGATTTCTTATTTTTGAATCCTTACCGGTTTGGTTTGTCCAACTTGAACCATAACTAAATAGCCACAAACAGTAACTGAATCTTAAAAAAAAAAAAAAATTGCTTTTGAATCTTTTGTTGGTGGTTCTGAAATCATTTTGCCCTCTAATGAGTGGACCTAAATCTTTTTGTTTAAAATAAATTCGTGGGATTATCCTTGTGGCTCAGGCTCGAGGATTCTTTTCTCCTAACAAATGAATGAGTAGTAAAATTTTTTTGAAGTGTTAATTTGAATTCTTAAAAGAAATTGGACTTCCCTGGACGCTTTAGCAATGTAAGATAACAAACTTCAAAAATATAATTATAATTAGTCTTTTTCTGTATTTTTTAAAAATAGTTAAGTCAACAAGAAAAATAAAGGTCAAAGTCAAATGAGAGATATCATAATTTTGATATTAGAAAATTTGAAGTCATGCAGTCAAAGGAGAGAGACCACAATTTTAATATCAGAAAATTTACAGTACAGTTTGAGAGATATAATTAGTCTATTTTAAAAAATAAATTAAATTACCGGGAGCTTACTGTAATTTTCCCGTTTTGGTCTCGGAATTTCCCGGGAAAGAAATAACCGGTGTCGATATTATAATTTGTTTTCTTTTACGTGTTTCATCCACATTTTTAAATTTCGGACAAGAGAGAGTTCAAGGCAAAGGAAAGGAAGAGAGAAAAGGAAGGACTATCACACACCATTTTCTAGACCCTTTCTTTCTCACTTAAATGCTTTCAGCCCCATATTTTACCTCCTTTAGCTTATTGCAATAGTTTTCTTTTTTCTTGAATCTCTACCTCTTTCTTTATCAACTTTCTTGATCTTTTATCTTTTTCTCTAACCAATTCTTGAACAGCGACAATGGAAGCAGCACGACGAGCTATGTGCACAGATGATCTTTTTAATCCACTCACTACCATCTTTATGCAGAGTGGCTCCATGCTTCTTGTCTCCCAGGTTTTCCATGTCATTCTGAAGCCCCTTGGACAACCAGGACCCGTCGCACAAATTTTGGTACATGTCTAAAACTTTATATGGATATTAACTTGCCATTGATTTGGTGTCTTATGATTACTTGTCTCAGGCTGCCCGTTGTTTTTAATGTATATATGGTGCCTTCTGTCAGGCAGGACTGGTGTTAGGCCCGTCATTGTTGTGCCGAATCAAGAAAATCAGAGACGTGTTTGATCAGCCTGATTTCAATGATTACAATGTAGTTCTTGCTCTCGTTTTCCGGATACTTTTTATGTTCTTGATTGGTCTGGAGACAGATATTCCTTATATGAGGCGCAACTTTCGCCAAGCAAGCATTATTGCATATGGGGGTATAATTGTGTGTACCATCTTTGGAGCAGCAATCACTGTTTTTGTCATTCGTATGATGATAATAAATGAGCACAAATTTATTTTTGCCCAGATTGTCATGATAATCTTGGCAAGCTCAGCCTCACCTGTGGTGATTAGGTTGGTGACTGAACTAAAATTTGAGACAGCAGATGTAGGGAGATTGGCAATTTCTTCATCTTTGATTAATGAAATGTCTTGTTTGTTATGGTATGATATAGTTATTGCATTCACCTCAGGCAAAATGTTTGGTCATGGGGTTTTATGCATTTGTTTCACAGTGTTAATCACTATTGTGAATAGGTCCTTAGCTGTTTGGTATAATGGAAGGAGAAATGATCAGAAATATCTTCCAGGAACCGATGTGTTAACTATTTTATCCCTTATTATATTCTTCTCGTTTGTTATCGAGGAATTTGGATACAATAGTACATTGTCTTGTTTCCTCATTGGTGTGATGTTCCCCAGGGAAGGAAAAACAGCTAGGACACTGTTGCATAAGCTCACTTACTCAGTTAATAATTTCATCCTTCCCATTTACTTTGGCTTCAGTGGCTTCCAATTTGATGTGAATTATCTGGCTAGTTATAGAAATTTCATGGTTGTTATCTTGGTGATGTTGCTCAGCACTGGGGGCAAAATTATTGGAACACTGGTTGCTTGTCATTACCTAAAGATTCCAAGGACTGAGGGAACCATTCTTGCTTTCATACTCAACTTGAAAGGGAATGGCGAACTTCTGCTTATTGATGCAGTCCCCAAGTCCAAGAAATATGTAAGTTTTTTCTCCACAAAACTTGTGCCTGAAACAGTATCTGTTGGATTGATTCTATGTTCTGGTTTCACTGTTGTTGCAGGATTGGGATGAGAACTTTCACAACTTGGTGATAATAGTAATAGTGCTTAACACAGTTATTGCAGGACCAGTAGTGTCTTGTATATTAAAAATAGAAGAAAAATATTTTTCTCACAGTAACTCCTCACTTGAATTTGATGATCCAGAGAATGAACTCCGGATGCTGGTTTGTGTTTACAGTTCTCGGCATATATCAGCTAAAATTGGTCTAATTTCTGCATTGAGTGGGTTTAAGAGAACCCCTATAATACCTTACATGATGCACTTAGTTGAGCTTCCCAAAAAACGGTGCAAAACACAGTTGATGTACCATGAGCTAGAAGATGGAGATCAATATAGCGACGAGGAAGAGTATGATGAGAATGACGCACTAGAGATAAATGATGCTGTGGACATTTTTAGCATAGAGAGCAAAATTTTAGTTTACCAAAATAAAATTGTGTCATCCTTTGCAAACATGTATGAAGAAGTGTGCAATAAAGCAGAGGACTTGCGAGTATCTATTGTCATCCTCACCTTTCATAAGCACCAACGCCTTGATGGGATAATGGAAGACAGCAAAGAAGGAGCTAAAATCACTAACCAGAAGGTTATTAACCATGCCCTTTGTTCAGTTGGGATATTTGTGGATAGAGGGCAGACTGGCTTTCGCCAACCTAGCCTGGACTTTGAGCAAAATGTGCTAACATTATTTTTTGGAGGCCCTGATGATCGTGAAGCATTGGCATTGAGCAAACGAATTGCTGCTCATCCTAATATTAATTTGACTGTCATCCGGTTCCTGGAAGCAACAGTGGGGGAGCAAGATGCTACAGTCAACAAGAGTGATGAAGTACTTCTGACAATATCAAACTCTCAGGTGGAGACTGCAATAGACAATGTCTTCCTGGAGGACTTCTATAACAGGTAACATTATGCCTTTTATTTCCTCTAGTTTCTTACTCCATGAAATAGTTGCTATCGAATAACAAAATTTAGCATTGCCAAGAAAAAAGAAAAGTACTTTTGTTACCTCCTGTGACATGACAGTACTGTGATTTTTCACTTTCTTGTATTAGATACGTGGCTTCGAGTAAAGTTCGATATATGGAGAAGCATGTGGGCAATGAGCTGGAAACAGTGAATGTTTTAAGAGAAATTAAGGACATCTATTCATTGATCATAGTAGGAAAGGGCGGGCGAGGGCCCTCCCCGATGACGAATGGTCTGAGTGACAGGGAGGAGTGTCCAGAACTGGGGGCAATAGGGGATCTTCTGGCATCTTCAGAACTTGACATCAGTGGTTCGGTTCTGGTCATCCAACAACATTCTTCAAGAAATCCTTATAACTTCATGTATGATTAGTCATTGGATTTGTATAGATGTAGTAATGAAATGTATCAGTAGGTTGGTTATTGATAAACGTAGTTGCAACATGTACAGTTTGACAACCATTTGCATTTGGAAAAGGAAGAACAAAAATGTTTCTTAGTGCAGATTTTAACCTGTTGAGCCGAAATGGATTCTACCCATTCTTGGTGTTTGAATCTTATATTTGCACCTATCTTTCTAATGAGCAGAGACCAAATATTAGCACAGAAAATAAATGTAAATAAACCCATCTTGGTGCAGTTAGAGAGGCTTGAAAATCTGTGGCAAGCAAGCCTAGTGAGTTAGCAAGACAGCTCTTGATGATAAAACGAACTATGCCTATTTTCGAGCCGTTTTATTGCTGTCGTTGGGTAAAAAAAACGACCGTTCGTTTAGTTTTATTAATTGAACGGGTTTTTAGCAAACAGTACGACAGTTCTTGATGACAAAAACGAATCTGTGCTCAGAATAGCCTCTGTCGTTCTTTCTCGTTGGAGCAAATTCTAATTTGCTGCAGGACGTTAATGCATTTTAGACAATGGACCGTATAGATGAGGCCATCGAAAAGCATCAACGGCTCAAATAGACTGCATCGTAGGCTAATGCACTACGAGGTCCCTAAATTATAATTTCCATAACATATTTGTTATTCTTTTCAAAATAGTCCATTTTAATTATCAATTGACTCAGAAATTCATTCTTAAATTATAGACTTATAATTTTCGTTAATATTTTAGCTATTCTCTAATGATTTTCGTTAACATTTTGATTTCTCTTTTTCGGATAAAATGATTAAAGTATTCTGAAAATCATAATTTAGGTACCGTGCAGTTAGTTTCAGAAATAGATACTTTTATGTGTTAATTATTATAATTCAAGGACCAATATGTTATTTTCCCATTATATAAATGCCGAATTATAACTGTGAATCACCATCCAGGAAGATTTCCCTGGAAAAAGTTTTCTCAAGTTATAGAGAACGGGATTAAATTTTCCTGCCGTTCGAATTTTCGAAGAAAAGTTTCCTTTATTAATTTATTTTTCGGGGAACCTTGTTAAATTTTAAATACAACATATGACCAGAAATTGCAAAAGGAAAAGAAGAGGAAATTGTACAAAACGGAAAGTCAACAAATTTTCGCTTCTTTTTGTTTTGTTTGTTCTATTCCAATCCTTTATAAATCAGCTTTTTGCTTGTCACTGTTTCAAGTTCCATAAAAAATGGCAGAAGCAATTCCATTTGGTATAGCTACCGAGATAGTGACCAAACTTGGCTCTTCTCTTTTCCAACAAATTGGGTCTCTTTATGGTGTGAAAAAGGACTTACAGAAGCTTGAGAACACACTCTCCACCATTCAAGCTGCTCTTCTTGATGCCGAGGAGAGGCAAGAAAACAGCCATTTGGTCCGAGATTGGATTAGAAAGCTCAAAGATGCTGTCTTTGATGCCGATGACTTGTTGGATGCAGTTGCAACTAGAGCTGCACAGCTTCAGTTGGAGACTCATGGCTGGAGAACGGAAAAGGTACTTGATTTTTTCTCATCAACAAATCCACTTGCTTTTAGATACAAATTGGGTTATAAAATTAAGGAGATTAGAGGGAGATTAGATGGAATCGCAGAAGATATGGCTAAGCTCAATTTCAGGGAGAGGGCTATAGATTTCCAGGTTAAGAATAGGGAGAGGGGCAAAACTCACTCTTTTGTGTTGACATCAGAAGTTATTGGTAGAGATGAGAATAAAGAAGATATCATAGAATTGCTAATGTCTTCTCACAATCAAGAAAGTTTTTCCATTATTCCAATTATTGGAATTGGTGGTTTAGGTAAAACTACCCTTGCCCAATTTGTTTATAATGATGAGAGGGTTGTTAAATTCTTTGAGAAGAGGATGTGGGTTTGTGTTACTGAAGATTTTGATATTGAAACGCTTGTTAGAAAAATCTTAGCTTCTATGACAAATTGTGAATTGGGTGACTTGGATATGGATCTGTTGCAAATTCGCCTTCGGAAAAACTTGAATGATAAGAAGTACCTTCTTGTTCTGGATGATATGTGGAATGAGAATCTTGAGAGATGGATTTCCTTGAGAAATCTGCTTGTTGGCGGTGCTAAAGGAAGCAGGATTCTTGTGACTACTCGCAGCAGAAAAGTTGCATCTGTTATGGGCGTGGAGTCCTCATATTTTTTGAAAGGTTTAACAGAAGAAGAAAGTTGGATATTGCTGAAACAAGTCGCATTTCAAGAAAGGCAAGATAAAGTTGATGCAAACTTGGAAGCAATTGGCAAAAGATTGGTTGAAAGGTGCAAAGGAGTCCCTCTAGCCATAAAAACTTTTGGGAGTGTAATGCAATTCAAAACAGAAGAAAGTGATTGGTTTGCAATAGAAAATAGTGAAAGCTGGAAGCTGTCTGAAGAATCTAATGATATTTTACCAGTACTGAAGTTGAGCTATGATCACTTGCCCATTAATCTGCGTCAATGTTTTGCCTATTGTTCAATATTCCCCAAGGGTTATAGCATCTGTAAAGATCAGTTGATCCAGTTGTGGATGGCGCAAGATTACATTCCCTCTTCTTGCGGAAATCAGAATTTAGAGGAAATTGGTGATCAGTATTTTAATGATTTGCTGTTGAGGTCATTTTTTCAAGAGGTTGAAAAAGATGATTTTGGTAACATAATAAGTTGCAAAATGCATGACCTGATTCATGATCTTGCACAAACCATTGCAGGGACTGACTGCTTACTTTCAGGAATTGATGCTGAAAATATATCCAAAAGACTGCGCCATTTGTCATTTGATCGATCTCTATATTATACATGGGAAGTTCCACATCACTTGCAGCAGATAAAAGGTTTGAGGACTTTCCTTTTACCTGTTAATGATCGCTGGATAAATGAATCCAATCAAGTCACCCTCATTTCAAATTTTAAACGACTGCGCGTGTTGGACATGCATTGTTTAGGTATTGAAAAGTTGCCTTGCTCAATTGTTAAGTTGAAGCACTTGAGGTATCTTGACATCTCTAATAATAGTCTCGTGGAAAGGCTTCCAGGATCAATTTGTAATTTGCTTAACTTGCAAACCCTACTGCTAGCACGTTGTGAAAGACTAATTGAGCTGCCTAGAGACATTAGAAAATTGATCAACCTCAGACATCTTGTGATCATCAAATGTCCTAGGTTGAGACACATGCCACCTGGACTAGGAGAATTGACTTGTCTGCGGACATTATCGAGATTCATTGTGCCTCGCAACAAAGAGACTGCATCAGATACAGCAAAGCTTAATGAACTTAATGGCTTAAATCTCCTCCGGGGTGGGATATGGCTTAAGAACCTCGAATCCTTGACTGATTCTCTTTTGGAATCACATGAAGCAAACTTGAAGAGAAAGATTTATCTCCAGTTCCTGGGATTACAATGGATCCCGACAGAGGCTAATGTTAGTCAGAGTAATGAAGCACTTTTAGAGATTCTCCACCCTCCTCCAAATCTGAAACACTTATGGGTGGAAGGATATGGCGGTGTAAAACTCTCAAGTTGGCTTTCCTCACTTAAAAATATTGTCAGAATTACTATTCGGAATTGTCCCAAATGCCGGAAACTCCCGCCACTGGAGCATCTCCCTTCTCTCAGGTTTCTGCATCTTCACAAATTAGCTGCTTTGGAATACATAGAATATGATAATAATGAGATGTTTTCTTCATCAGCATCAAAAACAGCATTCTTCCCATCACTGCAGGAGCTCTGGCTTTACAAATTGCCCAATTTTAAGGGATGGCAATTGAGAGAATTTATTGATGAGAATAATGGGACATCAGCAGCATTCACAGCTGACAACAATCAATCTCTCGAACACCTTTTTCCCTGCCTTAATCAATTAACCATTGAAAGGTGTTCTAAACTGACTTCTATGCCATTCTTTCCCTATCTGGATTCACTTCATCTTATAAATTCCAGTGTGCTGGTGACAGCAGCATCAACCTTCTCTTCATTTTCCTTTTCCCTCTTCCCTTTTTCAACAATAAACATTCTATTTATAGAGAAAGATGAATATCTCGAGTGTTTGCCTGAAGAGGGATTGCAGAACCTTACTTCTCTCAAGACATTGAAACTTAAAAATTGTCCTAGACTAGCGTTTCTTTCTCCAGGCATCAATTATCTCACTCGACTTACAAGTCTGGAGATCAGTGAGTGCAGCAGGATTGATTTGTTTCATGACAACGGCATTCAGTGGCAAGGCCTTAGGAACCTTTGTCATCTAATTATTGATTATCTTCCTCAGCTAGTTTCTCTCCCAGAGGGGCTTCAGAATATAACTGGTCTGAAAGAACTGAAGATTTTAAGTTGCTATAATCTAGTCGCTTTGCCAGAGTGGATAAGGAACTTCTCATTACTTCAAGAGCTTGAAATTTCAGATTGCTCTAGTTTTAAATCACTGCCTGAAGGGATTCATGCACATACATCTTTGCAGAAACTGAAAATTGCCAATGGTCCCAGTCCCAGCTTCTTGGATATAACCCAAAGGATTTCACATCACAGAGGTTAACATCAAAAGACAAAAAGTACAAACAAGGCATTCTATGCTTTATGCTCTTGTGGTGTGTATATTCTTTGCTTTGAAGTGCTAATAATGTTACTTTCTTCTGTCTGCTGGTTTTTGAAGTGCTAATAATGTTGTGAATTTATTTTACTTCACATGAAAAAATGACATATGATATATCATGGAAAAAAAGAAGGAAACTAAATGAATTGTACTGATATTTTTCTGCTTGATAATTCCAAGAGGAAACAAGGGAAAATTGCCATTAGCTGCATATGTTGCAGAGTTTCCTTTTGTGGGCATGATATTGGGATACAGGAAATCGGAACTGTTTCCACATGTTTATTGTTCATCTGCCTGTCAAATTTTATCAAAATCAACATACTTTTTTTCTTTTTCCTAAATTTTCTTGATCTGGTCGCAGGTCTCAAACTTTTGCCTGCCTATTGTGTTCTGAGGATGTGGAAGCAAATGGACCTAGTTTCTTTGAAGATGAGAAAATTTCTGCATTTTCTTCTCCAGCAAAGCCAAATATTGTGATAATCATCCCTTGCAGCAGCACCTATGGGAATCACAGGGCTGCTATTGAGAGTGTACATATGGTGATAATCTGATAATTAATGTATAATGAGAATTAGATAACCTGTGAACTGATATCTACATTGTTTTGATTTTAAGGGTAGATTTGTCTTTTCTTCCTTGGGAATGATTTGCTATTCTTTTGGAGACTTACAACTGTATGGTTTAATTGCTTATAACATATTCCTTTTGACCCTGTTGAATGACTGGTCGTACTGTTTGGAATGAAGCTGCAGGACTATCTCCAAAAACAACTCCTACAAAAATGTTTACATTTTGCATTAATGCCTTTTACTTTAAAAAACCCTTCTAAAATAGTAATTTTATAAAAGTTTCCTATTTAATAGTGATATTTAGGTTTATCTAAAATTTTATTCAGCTTGAGCTGTATAACATGTAATCCTTTTTTATTCATAAAAGAACTGATTTCTTTTTTTGGAGCACATAGAAACCATGTAATTTCAGTTGCTCATAACTAACTTCATCTAAAATGCAAATCCTAAAGACACAGCTTTCACCTCCTGCACTCTTTACTGAAGTTAAATTTTATAATTTATATATTAAGGCAACACAACCACCATGAAGAATGCTGCTCAATTAATGGGTCCTCTCCTCTCTATTAAGTACTAAAATTCCTATTTTAAGCATTTATGAGTAAATATAGGACCATTGGGATGCCAGTGAATAATCAATGAATTATATGCATTTATCTTTCTTTTACCTCAAAAAGAAAATTCAATTTTAAACAATAGATTATGAATATTGAAACAAAGTACAAATAGGATTCAGCTTGAATTCCATTTTTCACCTATCATAAAAAGCAAAAGATTGAGCTTTTAAACTTTGTAAGCCCATCATCCGCAAACAAAGGTTCTCCATCGAACTGCTCTTGCCTTCACCAAAATCCTAATGACAACCATCAAAACAGAAAAAAGAGGCAAAGAAAGGCAAAGAAATCAAAAAGAGATCAGAAAGAGGGGGGTGAAGGAGAAATCAAGAATTTGCTAAGGCTATCACCCTCCACCCTCCTCCTTTTCCTTCTCTTTCCCCCATTTTTCTTTCTTGGTTGATCTTGTTCTTCTGTGCATTACATTTCTTTAACAATGGATGCAGCACGAAGAGCTATGTGTTTAGATGATCCTTTTAATCCATTCATTTCAACCACCTTACAAGCAGCTGGAATTCTTGTTATCTCCCATTTCTTCCATATTCTCTTGAAACCCTTGGGACAACCGGGACCTGTTGCCCAAATCTTGGTAAGCCCTTAAATTTTCATTTTCTTTCTTTTCATATTTCTGCAAGATTTACATAATTTTTTATAATGTCTTTGTCTACCAGGCTGGAATTGTGTTAGGACCCTCTTTATTGTCTCATATCAAAATAGTCAAAGAATTCTTTCTTCAATCTTCTTCAGCTGATTATTATGATGTATTTTCATCCATATACGGCATACTCTTCATGTTCTTGATTGGTCTGGAGATGGATGTTCCTTATCTGAAGCGAAATCTGAAAAAAGCTGTCATTGTTGCATATGGTGGAATAGTTGTGTGTAGCATCTTTGGTCTAGCTGCATCCTTTTTTGTTATTCGTATATTGAAGCTCACAGCAAACACAGCATCTCTTGCCAATGTGATAATGATTGTTCTAGCTAACTCAGCCTCTCCTGTAGTCATTCGCCTGGCGGCCGAACTGAAATTTTCAACCTCAGATACAGGAAGATTGGCAACTTGTTCTTCGATAATCAATGAAATGTCTTGTCTACTTTGGTTGTCTTTAATTGTTGTCTTCATGTCATGGAAAATGTTTGGCATGGCAGTTCTTTTCTTCGTATTGACTGTGGGACTCGTTTTTGTAAACAAGTACTTAGCTGGTTGGTGTGACAAACGAAACCGGAACCAAAAATATGTGACCAATACAGAGATGTTTGGCATCTTGTTCCTTGTCATTGCTCTTTCATTTCTTACTGAAGAATATGGATTTAACAGTACAATGCCTTGTTTTCTTCTCGGCTTGATGTTCCCTCGGGAAGGAAAAACTACTCGGACATTGACGATTAAGCTTGCTTATGCTGTTCACAATTTTATCCTCCCAATTTACTTTGGCTACATAGGATTCCAGTTCAATATAACATACCTGAATAGTAGCAGAAATATTATAGCAGTTGCTCTTATGACCATTCTCAGCATGGGAGGCAAAATCATCGGCACATTGGCTGCTTGCCATTACTTAAGTATTCCAACAATTGATGGCATCGTCCTGTCCTTTTTACTCAACTTGAAAGGCCATGCTGAACTTCTCGTCGTCGGTGTCCTGAAAAAGACCATTGTAAGTATTAACCTGTCAAAATTGTGCATCTGGTGCCTAAGCTTCTGGGTCATCAAAGTAATTAGAATTTGAACTTTTGAGCTATGTAGTTTAGTTATGATGCTCTTTTTATTTTGTGCAGTTGAAGACATGGTGGGATCAGAATGTTCACAATTTGGTGGTAATGGTAGTAGTGCTTAATACAATTATCTCTGGACCTATAGTGGCTTACATATTAAGAAAAAATGAAAAGTATTTTTCTCAGAAACGTAACTTACTTGAATTTCGCGAACCTGAGGAAGAAATTCGAATGCTAGCTTGTGTTTATGGCTCTCGCCATATAACAGCAAAAATTGGGCTAATATTCACTTTAAGTGGATCCTCTGAAACTCCCACCACACCTTACTTGATGCACTTAGTTGAGCTTCCCAAGAAACGACGC